GTAGTAGCAGCAGCAGCAGCAGCAGCAGTAGTAGTAGTAGTAGAGGGGTATTTTTTGCAAATCAAAATAATGTTAAACTGGGTTTAAGCATGATGTTAAACGGAAAGTAGCAGTAGTAATAACAGCATCATCAGGAGTACCAGCCGCAGCAGCAGCAACAGAAGAAGAAGTAGTAGTAGTAGTAGTAGTAGTAGTAGTAGTAGTGCATTTGTTGTAGTGACAGTTGTGTGGTGGAATTAATACTTAATATCCCCAGCCACCGTGTTCCACTGTCAATTTTGTACGAAATGTCGACAGAGAACAAAGGTAATGCCTCCAGTCTACCTGTGAGTGAGTGAGTGAGCTTCTACATCTATATACTAGTTCCTTATTGTCCAATCAAGTTAATATACATCTGTATAATTTTTATTATTATCCAATCAGCTTTTTTACTATTATCCAATCAGCTACTACATCTATATAATATTAAATTAATATCCAATCAGATACTACATCTATATACTATTTTATTATTATCCAATTGACTTAATATACATATGTATACTATTTGTTATTATTATTATCCAATCAGCTACAAAATCTATATAACAATTTATTATTATCTATTCAGCTTATACATTTGTATACGTTTATATTATTATTCAGTCAGCTTATACTCTTACAATACCTCTCATAATATGGTTGTAGTCACTCCATCTTGGTAACGACGACGAATCTATATCGAACCATTGCTAACTGCAGTTAACCCGGAGCTGTTAGCTTTGAAGCCGTACGTTTCACTATTCACCAACTTCTATAAACCCATTATCCACATGGGTACAATGTGTGAAACTAATTTCTGGTGAAAGCACACACACACTTACTCACTATCCAGTCAAACACTACAACTACTATTCCCACTACTGCTACTGTTGCTGCTGCTACTACTACTACTACTGCTGCTGCTGCTACAACTATTACTGCTGCTACTACTTCTACTGCTGCTGCTACAACTACTACTGCTGCTGCTACAACTACTACTGCTGCTGCTACAATTACTACTGCTGCTGCTACAACTATTACTGCTGCTACTACTTCTACTGCTGCTGCTACAACTACTACTGCTGCTGCTACAACTACTACTGCTGCTGCTACAATTACTACTGCTGCTGCTACTACTACTGCTGCTGCTGCTGCTGCTACAACTGCTACAATTACTACTACTACTACTACTGCTGCTGCTGCTACTTACTACTAGTAGTACTGCTGCTGCTGCTACTACTACTACTACTACTACTGCTGCTACTACTACTACTGCTACTACTATGCTTGTCGTAAGAGGCGATTAACGGGGTTTTGGGGGATCACGCCCGCTGACCTGTTTGGTGCATGTTATCGTATCTCCAAGGCGTAGATCGCTGCTCATAATGTGAGCCACTTGATTTTCTGGCCCAGACTCGATTATTTACAGACCGCAGTCATATAGCTGGAATATTGCTGAGTACGGGGTTAAACCAACAAACTACTACTACTACTACTACTACTACTACTACTACTACTACTACTTCTACTACTACTACTACCACTTCTACTACTACTGCGTCTGCTGCTACTGCTACTGGTACTATTACTACTACTACGTCTTCTTCGTCTATACGTCTACAATTACATCTACACTACTACCACTTCGGTAATATAGCTTAAATGTCTAGTATAATGCTAGTTACCAGAAGCGTTAGCCACCAGCCTCGAGTTTGTTCCGTTCAACTCTGTACAGAACACCTGAAATGGATTGCTAATAAGATAATCTATTGTAACAGAATCGAAATTAACATCAATAACGAAATCAAAGATGACATCTGAAGCTGACAGAGTCCGAAGTCCAGCAGTTAGGTGGCCGAACGGCTGGTCCACAGACGGTGCGACGTGGGAGACTTCATTGGGGTTGAATCGCCAAATCGTGTCGTTTAGACAGCCAGCGATAAAGACGTTTTCGCTCCCTGTAAAAGAAAAACAAAACGATTTTAGAAGAAAATTAGATATTAGTGTTTGAAAGTTTTCTTTTGTCAAAGGTTAATCATAGCGCTCTCAAAGATGACAGTAACAGGGTCCTACACAGTATATTTATATATATGCTGCTCAGAGTAAGTTAAGGAATACCCGATTTTTTACAATGCCTATAATTAATTGGTCACATTTAAAAATGTGATTTTGTTTTGGGTTCTTTTGAGTAGTATATATGTATGCATTGGAGGATCCAGCACACACACACACACACACACACACACACACACACACACACACACACACACACACACACACACACACACACACACACACACACACACACACACACACACACACACACACACATACTCAGCTATCAATGTACACCTGAAGAGCCGTTGAACGGCGAAAGATCTTGTGCAGATATAAAGGAGATTTGACAAGAAAAAATATCTGGACTCATATTTTATATATTTATTGCTTATACACCTGCAGACATCACTTGTTTATATATATATATATATATATATATATATATATATATATATATATATATAGTCATGTGACTGGAACGTTACATAGATTGCTTTTTTCCCCATTTATAGATCTGTATTTTATAGCTAGATATTTACATCTACTTAAAGTCGCCAGCCCTAGGAATACACATTTGATGTATTTATAGTTAAAACGAAAAGTGGCTTATCAACATATCGTACGTTCTGATTTCAATACTGTGAGACAGACTTGTGGAACGGAATGAGGGTGATATCATATATGTTCTGGAGTGTGTGTGGAAGTCTGTTGGGCACATTGCACGTGTAGTTGCACATTGCAGACTCTGTGTGCCAGGTCGCGGGTTCAAAGGTCAGGGTTTTGTATACACCTCCCAGGACTTTTCTTTCGTACAGTATCACTACAACTGTTAAGGAATTACTAATAGAATGTACATCTCGAAACAACCACATTGTTTTGCATTGCTAACTTCATAGCCCGTGTCCTCCTCCAACAACTGTAAGCTCCTATATGTGTTTCAATTATTTACATGGGTCACATGGACTTTAAATTGCTTTCAACCATGGGTCACATGGATTTTACATCGTATTGAAGCATGGATCTCGGGCTCTTTACATTGTATGTATTAAACCATGAATTGCATCGCCTTTAAATTGTATTGAAGCATGAATCACCAGACTTTTGCATTGTTTTGAACCATGTTATTTCAAATTATATTTAAACATCATTTATTACATGGATTTTACATTGTACTGCAGCATGGGTCACTGGCATTTAAATTGTATATAAGCATATATCACATGACCCTTAAATTGCATTCAACAATGGATCACATGTAATTTAAACTGTATTCAACCATGGATCACATGGATATTACATCGCATTCAACCATGGATCACATAGATTTTGAATTGTATTCAAACATGGATCGCATGGATATTACATTGCATTCAACCATGGATCACATGGATAGTAAACTGCATTCAACCATGGATCACATGGATATTACATCGTATTCAACCATGGATCACATGGATATTAAATTCCATTCGACCATGGATCACATGAAATTTTAAACTGTATTCAACCATGGATCCCGTGGATTTTAAACTATATTCAACAATGGAACACATGGATTTTAAACTACATTCAATCATGGATCACATCTTCATATTGAACCATGGATTACATGGCATTTAATTGTTTTGAATCACATAATTCACGTATATTTTAAATTGTATTGCACAGCTAGTGGATCGGATGGATTTTGATTGCATTAGACCACTGATCAAGCAATTGAATCGTCGTTCTACACAGTACTAAACCATTTCTATCGCAACTCGTGTTATTTAGCTGAAGGTGTTTCTAACCTTCGCATGGAATGCTCTTTTTGACGATGCCCCGGAGAGATCGCTTAAGGTCTGCCATATCGGCCACTAAATCTTCTTTTATGATGGAGTTAACGCAGGGCTTGTCGCATCCGGGATCTGAAACGGAAAAAGGTGGAGTTGGGTTCGGAATGCTTGACTAGAAACGCCTCTAAATGGAACGTTGATGGAAAATACACCCTCCCTTTACCCCCAGTGATAGTTTAAATAATAGTAATAACAACAATTACAACTCAAGAATATCAGTGGTAATCATCACATCACATGACATGTCAAACCTACTTGTGACAAGGCAGGAATCGTACAATGGATGTTGCTTTTCTTTCTTATGATTAATAGGGGCGGTGGGGTAGCCTAGTGGTTAAAGCGATGGCCCGTCACGCCGAAGACCCGGGTTCGAATCCCCACATGGGTACAATGTGTGAAGCCCATTTCTGGTGTCCCCCGCCGTGATGTTGCTGGAATATTGCTAAAAGCGGCGTAAAACCAAACTCAGTCAGTCAGTCAGTGTTATGATTAATCCGTGAAGATCAGGGTTTGAATTGATCTTCAGTAACCCATGCTTGTCGTAAGAGGCGACTAAAGGGATCGGGTGGTCAGGCTCGCTGACTTGGTTGACACATGTCATTGTACCCCATTTGTGTAGATCGATGCTCATGCTGTTGATCATTGGATTGTCTGGTCCAGACTCGATTATTTACAGGCCACTGCCATATAGCTGGAATATTGCTGAGTGCGGCGTAAAACTAAACTCACTCATTCATTCTTATGATTATGGTAAGTTATATTATATATTATAATAATGGGTAGCAACATATGTGGGTCCCCTTCATTAGCATTATCACCATCATAACCGCAATCGGTATGTTACACGTTATATTGCAGTGTGATGGGGGAGGAGGGGTAGCCTAGTGGTTAACCGTTCGCTCGTCACGCCGAAGGCCCGGGTTCGATTCCCCACGTGGGTGCAATGTGTAAATCTCTGGTGTAATATTGCTAAAGCGGCGTTAATCCCAATTCACTCACATTGCAGTGTAATGGTGATAACGGTGGTGCACATTAATAAGTATAAAACGAACGAATGAGTGAATGAACGAACGTATGAATGAACGAATGGATGAAAGGACGGACGGACAGATATTCACATGTGTATCAAGACTCACCGTGACAAGGTTTACAACCGAAATCAGCAGCTTTTTCGAGATTATGCAGTTGACTGTCCATCCTCCGAACAAGACGTTCAAGACTAGCAATCTCGCAGTGAGCACCTCCCTGAGAAGGAACAGCGAGGCTCACTATGAGGACACAGCTCGCCAACAGCAGCATCTCGGTCGGTTTAAGAGAGTGTTAATGTGTGTTCGTGTAGTCACTTTAGGTTTCTGTAATGTTTTCATAATTTTACGCTCAATTACTTGATTTGGTTATACTCAATAAACTTCTATATTCCCCGGGGGTGGTAAATGAGTTTTACTACAGGACAAGAAATGAGCGACATCGAATACATAGTGTATTTTACAAGTACGGTATTAACTCTTGGCGATTATTGGCATGAGTATATGAAACGTCATCGCGAGAGATGAAGCAGTCTCAAGTATCCCCCCGAAACAGACAAATGATGAAAATAATATGAACTGATCACTGAAAATAAGAAGAGTCTCCTTGAGAATAATCTTGTATTTAGGAATGTATGATTACAATTCTTGAAAGTTCACGGAATGCGGTTTGCCCGGATGCTTCTTATAGGTGCAGACTGACTGACTGAGTTTAGTTTTACGCCGCTTTTAGCAATATTCCAGCAATATCACGGCGGGGGACACCAGAAATGGGCTTAACACATTGTGCCCATGTGGGGAATCGAACCCGGGTCTTCGGCGTGACGAGCCAACGCTTTAACCACTAGGCTACCCCACCGCCCCTTATAGGTGCAGATATGCATAGATAACTGAAAGTCGATTTCTCATATCATGGTATCAAAACCTTAAGTATTCCATTATTCCATACATGTTATTAATAATCAGATAAAATTGTTTATGGATATTAAATATATACTCATGGAAAAACGAGTAAGGGAACACATGGAAGTACAAGTGTTCCTTTATATAAATTATTGTGAGTATATATGAGTAATATCGTAAATTGTAATTATAGACAAAGACTGCCAAATCACACAATATTTATCGTTTGTTTGTTTTGTTTATTGTTAACGCCGCACTCAGCAATACTCAGCATCGATCTAAGCATTGGGATACGATCCCATGTGTCAACAAAGTCAACGAGCCTGACCACCCGATCCCGTTAGCCGCCTCTTACGACAGGCATGGGTTGCTGAAGACCAATTCTAACCCGTATCATTACGTCCAATATTTATCGAAGCTAGTGGGCATGGCAACGATTGCGTTCAACGGAAGAAAAGGTTATGTACACATTATACAAAAGAGTTCAGTTATCAAATGATCATATACGTCCATGTTACATTATGATTACAATAATCAGTAAATTCTTCAGTTTACTTTCAGTAGAAATTAACAGCCAGGCAAAAGAAAGTATACTCGCGTTTGATGGTGGATAAACTGTAACAAAGACAAAATGTTGGTATTTTCCCCTTTTTTTCGATAGGGATGTATTTGTTTTGTTTTGGACATTAAATAGTCAGTGTTGCGACGCATGTTTAACTCTAGAGATATTTTCATAATGATTTTAAGTTATATGTGATATCCAGTTTCTAAAGTTATTATTACAGTTAAGGAAACTGTTCGTGTTTTTCGAAATCTATAACTTCTGATATGGTAAGGAAATGAGCCATAGACCTGTTTCATTGGGCATGTAATTACTCTCCCAGATAAAAGGGCCTCTGTCTTATCTTCACCGCCGATTGAACATCTCACAAGTAATCGACCATTAATCGCGTATACAAAATAACACTTGGAGTTATTTGGCATTTTTTTGCACTTTTTCTAGAAATGCCAAATCACCGAACATTAGTTTTATTTGGATATTAAATAAGAAAGATGAATATAACCGCGACCATTGCAGAAGGTAACTTTCCATGCGAACCTTTGAACACAAATTTTCTTTAATTGCATATATTCTACACAAAATAACGTTTAATGTTTTTTATATCTACTTTGTGGACATGTATGCGTACTTACGTTAGAGTATTATCAGTTGAAAAGGAAGATCCAACAAAAAGTTTCATCAAGTAGACTTGACATGTCCTAATCTAATGTCAGAGATACAAGCTGGATGTGTAGGTAAATATTGTGAAAATATGTAATAAGTCAAGTGAAAGCTTGTGCAAGAAGTGAATTTGCATTCCTACCGTGCTAAATATGTTGTAATTTTGTGTCGAAAAAGTAGATTTATTGAGTGAGTGAATATGGTTTTGCGCCGCTTTTAGCAATATTCAAGAAAATCACGGCGGGGGACAGCAGAAATGGGCTTCACACATTGTACCCATGTGTTGAATCGAACCCGGGTCTTCGAACACTGCACATGCTCATTAGTTTCGAATATCCATTATATCTATCTATCCTAAATAGACCATTGAATCCCGCGAGCCAGTGGTGGTGGTGACCTCACATGCCCCTTGTGGCTGGTCAACTTTACAATCATTTTAAGAGTAGTTTCAAGCTTGTCAACTTTACAATCATTTTAAGAGTATCGTTTCAAATTTAAACTTATGTTTATCTAACATTTTATACATTTCATAACAGTGGCATTTACCTAAAATCTATTGTATCGATCCAAATTTAAACTCCCCGCCTACACTTCTATAATAAAATGAATTGCGAACATTACAGTGATAAAAATTGTTTAACATACACCAATGCATCTATCATGAAACTATAGGAAACCTCTTTTGAAATGTAAATATGTATTTACAGCTCACGCAGCCTTCGCAGTAATGAATTAACTGAGTTCGTTTAACCAGTTCTATTCATGGCTGAACGAGGGCGAGTATCGGGGGATATACATTGACCAATCAACGAGCAGTGTGACATTGAGCGCGGTCCGGATAATAAACATCATGGCGGAAGACGGTATGTATGAAACTAAGAAATTATTGAAAAACATAGACTCCGTGTTGTATTAGATAATGAATGGATGGTTGTAACTGACGAAGGACTCGTACTTTAAGTGCTAAAGTCACCGGTAGACCTGCGATGTATTTACCGTCGGACACAACTGAATGAACAGATGCTGAAATACGAAAAACATGACATGACCTGCTTCTGTCACATTCGATGAAGGGAAACATTCCTGTCAGCCGACTTATAATGTTGCTTTAAACAAATCATTGATCCATATGAGTTTAATTTCTTGTCCAGTTTCATTCTCCCAGCTCCATGTTATCAGTTCGTCAGCTCACTTTTGACAGGTGCGATGTGCTGAAATTTTAACAACGGTTACAAGTCAATGCTTCTTGAGTGAATGAAGTTAAATCACATCAAACCTGTCAAATTCACTTAGTTACAGTTACAGTAACTGTTGTCAGTTACATTTCTGACATTTGCGTTTAACGTGAGCATGTTGAGTGTCCTGGGGAATTACATACCCATTTATCACAAGTATTCTGACGAAAAATAGCACACAAAATAATGTAATTAATCAGTTAGTAAGTTGACTGATATGCGCACAGTTAATTGAACATGTTGATATGTTTGTGGGATACGACTGACAGAAATGCACCTTAAATAAATGCTGTTTTAATTGGGTACTGTTCACACTGAATCACATGTAAAGAAATCTGGAATTTACCCAAGTAATACTTGGTAAATGTATCATATCCTAGCTGCTTCTATGTACAGGACATATGCTCTCATGCATTTAATCATTGTTGGCAGAGTGAAAATGTTTAAATGTATGTTGTTGTTTTATTTGCATAGGGATAAGGATGATGTCTTTCAAGGGAAAAGTCTTCTGAACATAACATTTTGACATTCTGATCGGTAACCATGCAATTGAATGGATCATGTTAATTGTATGGCTAAAGTGTACGACTTTAGATACTTGTCGAAAGCCTTAGTCTAGTAAAATTAGTAGAATTACAGTACTGTCACATGAGCTCAGGTAATAGTCCATACAATATCCATGATAACACCTAAAACAACAATGAAAATCAGTATTCTCTGCTGAAACAAATTAAAAGTAAAACTGGCAGAAGATCGTCGTTATTAATTGGCATGCTTACAAATATATTCATTTTCACTGTATTGATTTCCTATGATCATATTTGACGGTAATCATAATGAATGTAAGGAAGGATAACAATATATGGAAGAACAACTTCTTTATTGCCAGTCAACACCGCTATCGCCCCAGCTACAAAACGCCCCAGCCAATTTGGTCAAAATGCCCCAGATTTTTGGTCAAATCGCCCCAGGTTTGGTCAAATTGCCCCAGGGGGGTAGTCAAAATGCCCCAGTGTATTTAAAATAATTAAATATATGCCATAAATGCATAGTTTTTGTTAACTTCCATATTATATACTTCGTATAATAATATATAGTAATATTTCTGATAGATTTTCTATTAGTAAACTGATAAGAGCAAAAGTAATATTCATGTATAAACAACACTATCATACCAATTATTTGCATGTTATTAATGCTTTTGTAAAGAATTACAAGAATAAAATGAAATGTTTGTATAAAATGTTTATTGGCCGTAAATGCATAGGTTTCTCAACAAGTATGGTATAATGCTAATCAAAACAATCTAGAGCTTTTGTTAATTAATCTTGTCAAACAGTGTGGATAAAAACAGGCTATTAAAACATGTTCACTAATTGACATTCAATGCTGTGTTTAGTTAAAGGAAATGTTGAGGCTCGAATGTATGAGCATTTCAGGCTATAAAAACATATTCACTAATTGACCATCACCTATCGAGATTCAAAAATGTAATTTTGAACGATTTTAATATCTACAGTCATTTTGACTTAAATTTCGGTAGCAGATTTTGTCTAATCATACATTCTCGTCTCGAACTTGAATGTAGTGACCTTAATGCGCACAAATATGAAAGATTTATATCTCTGACATCATCTTGCTCTTGTGGCCATAACTATGAAGACTCTGCTCATTATTTCTTCTCATGTACTCTTTACAACGATATACGTCAAATTATGTTTTTTTATACTAAAGGATTTGACCTAAAATCAATTTTGTTTGGAAACCAACGCTGTTCCTCAATAGTAAACAAAGAACTTTTAATTTCAGTGCACTCTTTTATAAATTTAACAGGCAGATTTGATCCAAAATATTTTGTTTATATGACATATACCGTTTAACAATGATTGGCGTTATTTCTCGTTTTTGCAGCATTTATATATCATTCACATTGTACATTCATCATGACGAGTTTATTCTTCCTTCCATTGTATCCCAGAGCGGTATTCATATAAGCTTATGCTTGTTTACCAATCCGGTTCCTTTCTTTGGAAATAAATATGTTTAAATAATAAATATTATACCATACTAGTTATGATTACATAATGCCATTGGTTGACCAAAAACTATTTACAGCCAATAAACATATTATACAAACCTTTCATTTTACTCTTGTAATTCTTTACCAAATAATTAGTATTACAGTGTTGTCTATACATGAATATTACTTTTGGTCTTATGAGTTTACTAATAGAAAATTTATCAGAAATATCACTATATAATATTATATCTATAGAATATAACATGGAAGTTGACAAAAACTATGCATTTGTGGCATACATTTAACCAATTTAAATACATTGGGGCATTTTGACTACCCCCCAAAAATCTGGGGCATTTTGACAATTTTGACCAAACCTGGGGCTTGCTTGATTTGACCAAAAAATGTTGCTGCAATAAAGAAGTTGTTCATTTTTGTTATCCTTCCTTAAAATAGTCACTTTAAACTCCATGATTACTGGTATGTTAGCATGCTTAGTTCCAGTGTTTTGAGACAGCCATTTTTCTTTTGCTATTTAACAGTCATCAGGTTCTGAGGGTCATGTAGTTGACTGTTTTCTATTATGTTATAGGGATGCCATAGATGCCAAGAAAAAGAAGAAGAAGAAATCAAAAGGATCCGAGCGGGATGACATGGTAGGAATTTGGTTGTTCATTTTACTTCCTATTACACATTGTTTTAGTCTGTTATTCAATCTCTGAGGAATACTACAATTTGTGTTCAGAGAGTTTGTCTATGACAGTTAGTTTGGAGCATGGTAGGCATGTGCATTAGGTCATTTTTAGCCCTTCTTTATAATAAATTGTGTTCGAAGCCAAATTCACCTTGATCACTTGTCAGTCAGTGCTATTTCCATTGACATGCAGTCATTGACCATTGTTGATCATCACCAGTATGAGCTTTATTCTCTTGACTAACCCGACTCCGTGGTGTAGTGGTAAGAGCTGCCTGCCCGAGAGCGGAAGGTCGCAGGTTCGATCCCCCGACCGCGTCCATACCAAAAAGACGCTAAAATATGGTACTTGTTGGTCCCAGCGTGGCGCTCGGCATTAATGGGTACAACAAGGACTGGTCGGCTCGAGTCAGTATAATGTGTCTGAGTGGGGTATTGATGCTTCACTGCGCATGGTATCTCAGTGGGCTAGCACTATATAATAACCAGCTGAAGTCTGGGCTAGTACAAGCAGCCGCACATACACATACACACGCATGCACGCCATCATATGAGCTGTAAATATTCTCAAGCACGACGTTAAACCCAATTTCACTGCACCACCTCTTGACCAACCATGATGTCACCAAAATATTTTCAAAGTATAGTTGGGCCAGGGTATGAAACTCCCCAAAATATCAGCAAGACTACAGGGCTGGTTAGATGTAAAATTGCCAGCCCTGACCAAAACTTACCTGCACACAAAATATTTTCATATACATGTATAATTTTTATCCTGACCATCGGGCAGGTGTGATTTGAGAATCTGGCTGTTCATGTTGAAAATGTCGGGGAGGTAGGTATTTCAACGCTGGTTAGGCCCAGCTTGTTTCTTTATGTATGTATGTTGATTTGATCAGAAAACTTGCCATCATAATCTTTAACATGACTAAAACTAGGAGCATAATAACCAATGACTCGGACTAGTAAATTCCGAGATAGTTTGAGAGGCACCTTGGGACATGGTACTGTGGATGTGATGCACACAACCAATGCAGCAGTCAGAGTGTATTGCACGGATGGGGCTTGTGTTTCATTATTGCACTGGATGATGTATCTGATTTCATTTTGTCTCCACTTTTTAGTGTGTAAATAAATAATTCAGCAGTATACCTTCATCATAATTAACTTCACTATATTTCTTTTTATATTTATGACTCAGGGTGTGTGTGTGGGTGGGGAGGGAGTATTGATTTTGTTTTTAAAAATGCAAAAGTGTCTTCAAGTAAACAAATCAATGCAGCAAAATATCTTTTCAGGTTTTATGCATTTGGAGTGAGCGAAGTTTAGTTTTACCGCACTGAGCAATATTCCAGCTATATGGTGGCGGTCTGTAAATAATCGAGTCTGGACCAGATAGCCCAGTGATCAACAGCATGAGCATTGATCTGTGCAATTGGGAAACAATGACATGTGTCAATCAAGTCAGCGAGCCTGACCACCAGATCCTGTTAGTCACCTCTTACAATAAGCATGTGTTTCAGAAGATCTATATTCTAACCCTGACCTTCCCGGTATTATGCATTTGGAACACACAAGTAATAAGGTTAAAAACTTACGTAAGATTGTTTATCCATTCATGTTCAAATTCATATGAAAAAGAGACACTGCTAGTCTGATTGTCACAAAGCCGACCTATTTTCAGCTTGAGTTGTTGCGGAAGGGTGAGGGAACAGGGCTACACAAAGACAGAGATGAAGCCATTGATGCCAACACTTTTGACCCTGACAACAGCAAGAGTGAGAAGAGCAACAAGAGGAGACAGAGGCAGCAGGAGATGGAAAACAGTAAGCAGTTTGGAAGTTTGTTTTTTAAAGACGTGTTTGAAATACTGGTCCACAGACAAGTGGATACCATTTCATCGCTAGTCCTCTTCAGATGAAGAAATGTTTGCCATGTTGCATTTTCTATTGTTGCCATTTTTACCATCGGTGTAGTGAAAATTCATTTTCAGTGAATTTCACATGTGCAACTCGCACACCTGGCTGTTCTACCAGCAAGTGGTCCCCACTCATAAAAAGTAGCGATAAGTGACAACAAAATAATGATTGTTTGTTAAACAACTTTTTTATTCTGGTGTCCAAAATTATGAGACAAATCATCAGAGTTGGTCTGTCAGTTTCATGTGACTGCAAAATTTGGTGTGAGCAATTCATTGGTCTCAAATGAAATCAAATGGACTGTACATGTTGGACATACTGTTGAAGCTAGCACATTGTGACTACCAGGACTTATTTCTTCTCATACCTAATTTATTCAATGTCACAGTAATGTCATGTCTAAGATAGTTCGTACTGTAAATTATTTTTGCATTTTATTGACGGCTGTTAACAGCTATAACCATGATAAAACACGGATCACCTATGTGCCTTTGATATCATGACTGGCTGACTGACTGAGTTTGGTTTTACGCCGCTTTTAGCAATATTCCAGCAATATCACGGCGGGGGACAACAGAAATGGGCTTCACTCATTGTACCCATGTGGGGATTTGAACCCGGGTCTTCGGTGTGACGAGCCAACGCTTTAACCACTAGACTATCCCACCGCCCCCTTTGATATGATGATAGTCATGATATGACAGTGTAGCTGTTGTAGGCTAACCAGTACCTGATGGACCTGTGAAGATCCGGCTTAATGTGGATCTTCAGCAACCCATGCTTGTCATAAGATCAACAAACATGATCGGGGGATCAGACTCACTGACTTGGTCGACACATGTCATTGTATGCCAATTGCGTAGATCAATGCTCATGATGTTGATCACTGGATTGTCTGGTCCAGGCGTGATTATTTACATATCGTCGCCATATAGGTGGAATATATTACTGAGTGGTGTTAAATGACAAACCAACCAACTGGTGTTAACATTTCTGGTATGCCCTCTGTAATATTGCTGGAATATTGCTAAAGGTGGCATAACACACTACTCAGACCCTGATGTGAAACAGCAACAATTAAAAATCTTGTTACAGATGAGAGTGATAAAGTGAAGAAAGATGGCAAAACGAAGAAGAAGATTCCCAAAGCTCCGGACACCATTGAGATGATTGATGAGACCAAGGAGAGTAAACCAGTGAAAAAGAAGAAGAAAAAGAAAGTAGAAGTACCAGAAGAGGAGGTACCAGAAGAAATACCCTCACCAACAGAGACCACACCTAAGAAGAAAAAAAAGTGAGGCTTTAATAGACATTTATTATTTAATTTCACTTTGACCATGTTGACCATTGGCCTGAACCCTGTTTACTGTGTTGCAGCTAGCTTTCAGCACAGGACATTTCAGCAATAGTCACACACATTGAGGATTTGCAGATTCATACAGTTTGCATATCAGTCAATACTTAATAAGTGAGAAAACAATAATTTTTTCTTATCCTGACTCAGGATCTTTTGCTTATCTCCCTTTCCCTTTCGAATGGTAGTGAAACACTTGGATCCCTTGAAGTTCCCGACGCGGACGTATAAATACACTCACCCACGAGTTACCTCCCTTTGTCCTTTCCCGCGCAAACCAGTCATGTGACGTGCCTTACTTGTCACTCTCTCCCTTTTCACCCAAGCGGATGGTTGGGCGAGCACTGGAGTCCTGTATACGGCATCATATCCTTTTTATTAAGGCCTATTCTTCAAAATTACGCTGTATATGGATTTGGCTATAACTACTATGTAGTATTTGTAAAATTTTGTTTAAAATTATTGACTTTGAGTCGTGTTTTCATCGTCATGTAACGTTGTTTACATTTCATGAAATCTTGCAGTGTTTGCAGGCACAGGTTATCCGTGGCTGATCCTCACCCCCACTGTCCTTCGTGCATAAAGCCATGTTCTTCCAGCTTGCGCTGTACTCATTGTATTCATTTATCTAATCTTCAATTTAATCAATATTTGTCTTATGTTTATAGACGTGACATGGATCGGGTGAGAAAGTCATCTCAAGTCACGATTGATAAAACTGCAGATCAGCCTCCAAACCATATGTTGCTTGCTACTGCCGATGTTTATAATACTGGTGCTATGTTGAGTACGTTACAGGGCCAGTCTGCTGGTAAGGGGGCCAAGAAGAGATCGTCTACATCTCAGTCGACTCAGTCTCAGACTAAGAAAAAGACGACATCCTCTTTTACTGCGCAGAAGAAGTCTACGGTTACCAGATCGGAGGGCAAAGCTAGGTGTGCTAGCTCATCTACGCACCATAAATCTTTCAATGAAGAGATTGTACCTCCTTACGAACTAGACGTTTTTGACGAATCCCCAATACTTCTACCTGAAGTATCTATGAGATCAGCGACGCAGTCGCCCTCTACTACTACGAGATCGTCCCCTACTACAGTCACAGCAGGACAGCTGTTCGACATACTACCTCTTACTTCTCGGATTGAAGTTGAGGCACATAACCCATCAGCGTTCGTGAACGCTTCTCCTACACCGCAGCAGCATCAGCCTATGCAGAACTTCGACCTGGGGGAATTTATGACTCAATTCACCAACCAGATGATGGCCATGATGGAACCTAGATTCCAGGAGGAATCAAAGGCTAGGAAGAGCCTCTCATCTACCGACACTGTGCGCAAACCCACAGGCCAGCTCGAATCTACTCCTATTAGATCTACACCTCAAGGCTACGTTCGTGAACGTACACCTTCGCGAAGGTCTCCACAGTCGGACGACTCTGTCATCTTGGAGGATAGAAGAGATGACGCACATACTCTTCAATCTACATTCGCGAACCCTCAGTGTTTGCGAACATCGAAGGATCCTGTTCCTACACCTAACCGCTCTAGGTCGAGATCACTTATCTCGCACAGACGTTCGCGAAGCTACTCATCTCAAGCCAGACGCGAGGTTCGCGAAGAGATGTATCCACAGATAGAGGTTCGCGGACAGAACACTCTCAGATAGACGTTCGCATAGGGAGGAATCCTCAGATACAGGTTCGCGAAGAGAGGATGAAGGTTTTAAGAAGGGAAACAGGTTCGCAGATGGATGAATCGTCGAGACATAGCTCTCATAATCAGGAGACTTCGGACTTGCAAACAGACTTCGTCTTCCCAGACTCAGAAGTTACAGCATGGATTGCTAACAGGTTGAACTTGAAGTCTCCTTCAAAGAATAAGAATGCAGCCAACTTTCGCACAGCCTTTGCGAAGGCTTCCAAATATCAGAGTCAGCAACTACCATCTTTTAATAAGAGGAGATTCCCCCTACACCATATGGATCCATTTATGATGGCGCCTGATTGGGATGATAACATCAAACTTGTGAATGACTCCCAGAATAAGATGTACAAAGTGGATGACAAAAAGCTATCTCAACTAGATACGGCTTCTAGGAGATCCTTCTTCGGATTGGCCAGGTCCAGAGCCATCAATGAAGCATTGATAAATAAATTCCAGAATTCAACTACGGGGGAGGATATACTCAGCCCTCGTTACACAAAAGAAGGATCAATACTTTTTGTCTGACCATCTCACATCAATATCTGCGGGACTCACCTTAGTATGCAGACAGGGACTACTGGTGTCATGCTCTTGTAATGATAGATTTACTCAACCACTGCTAAGAGCTCCTTGGCAGGCGCCTACTATATTTGGAGGTCTAATAGACGATGCAGCTAAGGAAGCTACACATGATACCAGAGAAGTAATGATGATTAAAACCATAGATACCCTGGCCAACGTCATCCGCCATACTTCTCAGAAGTATAGCAACAAGTCCAAGTATTCCGGGAATACAGAAAGCTAAGGACAAGAAGTACTCCAGCTTCAAAGGGAAAAAGACTCTTTTCGTCGCCCATCCGGAAATTACAGAGGAAGCTCAGGAAGAGGCCGCGGCCCCAGAGCTTCAAGAGGAACTAGACGTTGATATCAGGGTTCGGAACGACTGGAGTCTTCCACCCCCAGCCGTTCCTGTAAAACCATCGACAGTGGGTGGACGTCTACAAAGGTACTGGAAAAATTGGGGAATACTAGAGGACGACTATGTCTCCCAAGTACTACGAGAAGGATACAGAGTACAACTCAAGGCCACACCTCCGCTAACCCTCAGCCCGATGGTCTTCGACTATGCAGAAGAGCAGGCAGACAAACAACAAGAAGCCATCGACTCACTACTGATGAAAGAGGCGGTAGAGATAATAGATCAGCATCATCTCACTCCAGGCTTCTACTCCCCAATTTGTCTAGTACCCAAGAAGAACTCCAAGGAGAAGATCAGACTGATTTACAACATGCGAAATTCAACAAAGACTATTTACTGAAACCAGAGAGGTTCAGAATGATCCACCTACCTCAACTCAGACTACTTGTTTGTCCAGCAGATTACATGGCCAGCCAAGGCAATAACGCCAGCGTTGTGCAGATCTACTCGTAACCTGTATGATGACAAGTGGCTGAAGTTTGAGACTTATGCAAGGCGGAAAGGCTTCATTGCAATGAAAGCTACTCATCCTCAAGTGGCGGAATACCTGTGTCATCTTAGACAGACCAGACATCTGAAAAGTTTGACATTATCTACATACCTCGCCGCCATCAGTACAAGTTGACGAAAATACCAGAATTACTTGCTCTGCTGAGATCTTTTAAACTGGAGGACCAGCAAAAGAAGTTCAGAGCTCCGGCCTGGGATCTGAATGTAATTCTACGTCATCTTACTAGTGATGCCTGCGAACCTCTAGACCAGACTACCCTCGAGCTGCTGACACAGAAGACTCTGTTCCTGCTTGCACTAGGTACGGCAGCTCGAATATCAGAGATACATGCGCTGGACTTTGGTCGAACCAGATTCGACACGGGGCAACATGCTGCAGTTCATCTAGGACTTAGATGGGACGTCATTGCCTACCAGCTCTAGCTACAATCCTTGGACCAGAGGATATAGAGGACTTATCCTTGTGTCCGGTCAGAGCCCTGAAGATATATCTTCAAAAGACTGAGACAAGGAGACAAAAATTCAAGCGCTTGTTCATCCCATTATCCACAGAGACATCAGCAGAAGTCTCAAGAACGATGAAGACGTCTCAGGCATTCACCAATTTGTGCCTCTCGTTGTAGCACAGCAACTAACGGTTCCTCAAAGGCACTGAGTTGGAAAATCTCACCCTTTATCATGTTGACTTGTTGATACAGGACGTATCTAAGGGCAGCTGATGAATCCACAAAGTGGCTTGACCCACCGCCAATCCGTCGGATTCTATAAGCAAAAGATCATGAGTCAGGATAAGAAATAATATGAAATTTCTCAAGTAAAATTGATATTTTTATACTTATCCTGACTCATGACGAGAAGCCCTCCCAACCTCCCCACTGGAAACATTTCAGATTTCACAGCAGATCCAAGTGCATGGGCACAAAATCAGGAGAGAGTGACAAGTAAGGCTGGTCACATGACTGTTTGCGTGGAAAAGGGTAAAAGGGAGGTAACTCGTGGGTGAGTGTATTTTTACGTCCGCTTCGGGAACTTCAAGGGATTCAAGTGTTCCACTACCATTCGAAAAGAAAAGGGAGATAAGCAAAAGATCATGAGTCAGGATAAGTATAAAAATATCTATTTTACTTGAAAAATTACAATTATGAAAAGCAATATGTTTTGTATTCTGTCTGTGCACACCACATTTTTAACTGGTTGCTGGAGAACAGCACGCATGGCAACATGCATAGATAATGTTTTGAAGTGACCTTGTCTTCTTCCCCTCCTTTTGGCCATGATTTTATTTTTTTTAAATAATTAAACTGGGAAATGTGAAAATATGACTTTGAGGACATTCATTCATTTCAACCATATACCATACATACAACACCAGTATATGTCACAATCTGTCATAATTTCGAGTTAGTTACTTCTTGTCGAATATGAAACTAGGCTTTTCTAGTAAGTGTGCATCTCCACCATGGCCTAATGTGCCGAAGCTCTCTAGAGTTAGTTACTTCTTGTCGAATATGAAACTAGGCTTTTCTAGTAAGTGTGCATCTTCACCATGGCCTAGTGTTTCGAAGCTCTCTTAGTAATTGAAAGTCTTAGCGCTAAGATGGTTGTACGTTAATGTTAATGTATGGCACTTACGACTATCTTAGCGCTAGGAGAGCTTCGAAAATCTAGGCCCATTGTCATTCAATATCAAAAGCTGAGTGTTTGCATTGCACAGTACCACACCAACAGGTCCTGACTTAATCCAGATCCCTGCCAATTGGTTTAATCCACCTGTGCTTATCTTTAGACAAGAGACCGCCTCCGTGGTGTAGTAGTTAGAGCGTCCGCCCGGAGAGCGGAAGGTCGCGGGTTCGATCCCCGTCCGAGTCATACCAAAAGACTTTAAAATATGGTACTTGTTGGTCCCTGCCTGACGCTCGGCATTAATAGGTACAACAAGGACTGGTCGGCTCGGAGTCAGTATAATGTGTCTGAGTGGGGTATTGATGCTTCACTGTGGCATGGTATCTCAGTGGGCTAGCACTATAAAACCAGCTTCAGTCTTGGCTAGTACAAGCAGCCGCACATACACATACACACGAATGCACGTCGTCATATGAGTGATTATATGCTCAAGTACCACGTAAAACCCAATTTCACCTCACCTCACCTTGAGACAAGACAAGCGGGACTAGGTGCTACGACTCTGTGACAGTTCATTTCTTGTTTTCATTCCCTGAAGGCCTGGGACATTACATATTGTCAGTGATTTTACAAGAGATATTTAACAACAGGACCCTGTCCAGTTTTTGTAAACATTTGACAGGGCATTCTTCTGTATCATTACAAGACATTTAAGTCAGTGTCCTAGAAATTGAATCGATTTGAAACCTCACATCATCATGATAGCATGATATCAGTCACAGAGTCTAGTCTGGATTTCATCATCAACAGGCCGCAGTGATATAGATACATTGTCAATGTGATGCAAACATGATAGTAACAGGCAATAAGGATCAGGTGGTCAGGCTCGCTGACACATGTCATTGTATCAGAACTGCATAGATCAATGCTCATGATGTTGATCACTGGATTGTCTGGTCCAGACTTCATTATATACAGACTGCTGTCATACTGCTAAGTGCAGCATTAAACAAACAAACAAAACAATATAGCCCTCCCCCAACATAAAGTATGTTATGAAATTATCAATGATGCTGTCTTCAGAGTCAAGAAGTCACCTGTGCCGGAGGAGTCGACGGAAACACCCCCTGTTCCAGAGGAAGAACAGACAGAGACAACAGCACTTGTATCACCCAAAGATGAAAAGAAGAAGAAAAAGAAGAAGAAACCTCCAGATGCAGAAGAAGACCCTGAGGCCACAACTGTGAAGGCAGAGGATGAGACTGGGGTTAGTTGTAGTGTTTATGTAGGCTTGATTTGTTACCATGGCAACTGAATGTTTAAAACCATTGTCAGTCTATGTTGTCATTTTTAAAAGTGTGAAAGTAATGCAAATTTAATGTGAAAACATTTTTTCCTATCTCACCTCTGACCTGTGAAGGTCCGGGGTTAGAATGAACCTTCAGTAACCCATGCTTGTCATAAGAGGCGACTAAAGGGATCGGGAGGTCAGGCTCGCTGACTTGGTTGACACATGTCATGAATTCCCAATTGCGCAGGTCGATGCTCATGATGTTGATCACTGGATTGTCTGATCCAGACTCGATTATTTACAGACCGCCGCCATATAGCTGGAATATTGCTGAGGGCGGCGTAAAACTTCACTCACTCACTCACTCACTCACTCACTCACTCACTCACTCCTATCTCACCTCTGTTTTTTGTTCACACATCAATCATTTTAAGCTATAATACTTGAGGCAAAATATTTTAGAATCTGTGCTGCAAGATAGTGTTATTGATGCACATGTAACATAACTAGTCTTTCAGAATGTTTCTGTGGTTTAAAATGTTTGGACTGCATTTTCCTGTGTTTTGTGTTACTGTATGTAGTTACTTTTTGTCTCATTAGACTGCGGAAGAACCACCCACAGATGAAACATCACCCAGAGCTGAAACTCCAAAGAAGAAGAAAAAGAAGAAGAAGAAAGAAGGTATAAGAGTCCTACAATTTTGAAATTGTTCAAATAAACGTGTAATTACAGGCCACTGTAATTGTCATTACCCTTGGAGAACTTATGGTTTATTGACAGAACTGTATCATAGTGTATGTGATGAAGAATTGTTATTTGTCTGATGTTTCTGCTATTGAAGTATTGTAAAACTTGCTAGTTGGATGTTATTAATTAAGGTAAGCAAGGAAAAATATGTCGAAACATGCTAAAAATCAAATATATGCACTATGGCAGCTTGATCAATATTGAGATTGCAGCTCAGAGTCTGTACGGAGGCTGTTAATCTTCCAATGTTTGCTACATCCACAGAGGAGGAAGTAGTTACGGCTGCAGAAGAGGAGGTGGCGGCGCCGGATGTGAAGGACGTGGAGGACAGGGGGCAGATCCTGGGGCTGACCATACATCGCACGGACAAGCTGAAGAATGACTTCCACATTCTGCATCCCATGATCAGAGTACACATGGTGGATGAATCCACAGGCACCTACCTCAAGAAACAGAAGGAGTGAGTTCTTGGAAGTGCAGAGACTTATATCATCTGCTTTCGACTGAGGGCGGTTTTACATCTGTCTTGCTAAGATAGAAATGTTTTACACCTATGTTGCTTTAGGGCAGAGTTAGATTTTACACTCATGTTGCTTCAGACAGTGAAGCTTTAGATCTATGTTGCTTTACATGAACAGTTGAATGTCCTGTCTTAAATTACATACTGACTTGACTGATTGCCCTGTTTCAGGTCTCGAGCTGTCACATCCTTCTATGAAACCAAGAGTGACAAAGTTGACCACATCCTACCCATCATGACGCAGCCATTTGATTTTAAACAAAGAAAGTAAGAGCACAGATTCAATCTTACATCAACTTCAGTTACAATGTATGTCTGACAAGAGTCTTGCAAAGCCTTTGTGGAAAATAGTTTATAATAGTACTGGCAGGTGGACTGAAACATACAAAGCAGATACTCATTTTTCCGATTTTTGATAATCCGGGGTGTTCTCCATACTATGCTGGTAAATACTCTGGACCCATTTGTCGCCTTAGCTTCATCCTGGAAATGGGGTGGTGGGGTAGCCTAGTGGTTAAAGCGTTCGCTCGTCACGCTGAAGACCCGGGTTCAATTCCCCTCATGGGTACAATTTGTGAAGCCCATTTCTGTGTACCCTGCCGTGATATTGCTGGAATACTGCTAAAAGAAGCGTAAATCCCAACTCACTCACTCACTTATCCTGGAAGTGGCATCCCCACCTCCATCACTTCTGTCTCTGAGTGTTTGATTGGATTGTTGCCCAATTAAGACACGGTCCAACAAGAAGCTATGGTACTGAACAGGTCCAGGGTATTTGTCATAGTTGCATGTGATATAATACCTTGCATACCTGAGGTTGGGAATTCCATGTCTTTTGTATCCATGGAATGCTGAAGTAAATGCATAGAAAGCTTGAAAGCCAGTTATTCTGAAATGGTTTGATTTACTGTACAAAGGTGGCCTTGTCATCTAAAGTGCCTCCATTCTCTATACTGAGTTGTGTCCCTTGTTCATGCTAGAAATGTATGAATGTTGATTCAAATCCAGGTTCAGCCAAAAGGATATTTCTAGGTTTGTCATCATCATACCTGTCTCAGACCAGTGTCACTTTTGTCTTAACTCTCATAGTAAGCGGACACTTTACATGATAAAAATGGAATACTGTTAAAAGTGGCATTACACTAAACTCTCTGTCTCAGTGGCTTCAGGTACATTTTACTCACGTATTGCTTGTTTCCAGGTCGACACTGCCGGTGTGGGAGGAGCTACTTGTTTTCAATGAAAACTACAACTATATTATACAGAAAGATCTCAAAATCATTCTCTTCTTTGAAGTAAGTAGACATTCTGTTACATTAAGCTTGCTGCGATAAATGTATTGTTTGCATTAATGAGAATAAAATGGACATGATGGTTCTCCAAATTTGAACCCCTCCATCCCTCTTGGCTCTATATTCATGAAAATTGATCCGTTATTTTCACAAGCATTGTGTACTTGACCCTTACATACAACTAGTACTTCATCTGACATTAACTCATCAAAGTTGAAAGTTCAACTTGGTTAATATCTCTCCCTGGATGGTTTGTTATCAAGTTGCCATAGTTACGGCCTGCTTCATCCTCATGAATCCCTCTAGTTTACTCTTTTCCTGCTAATAAACTGTTGTATCGTTATCAACATGTTCAAACAAAGTTCCATATTTTCCCACTTTTTATCAGCTGCTGGACTTCGTGAGCATGAACACGGCCAGCCGCAAGTACAACAATGAGAAGCAGGAAGGGGGTTGGCATCGAATCGCTTGGGGATTTCTCAAGGTAAGTCATCACCACATGTTATCACCAGGTGATGTACTGCAGCCCCTGACACAGGTATTACTGTGGTTGTAGGAGGTCCCAATACATTCAGAAACAAAAATGTAGGAAATAGGAATTCCTTTGATTGATTTTTCATTTGTTCATTATTCTTCATTTTAATTACTTTAGCATGGTAACTATGTGTTATGTATTTCATTAAATTTGGGAGTGATATATACCATATTTCCTCTAATAAGCGTCTTAACGCTTATTTTTTCAAAGGACTTCCAGACCCGATGCTTATTAGAGGCCCGGCACTAATTGCGCTTACTGGGTGTAATTACCGTAATTGTTAGTGAACTGCTTTACCCTGAGTGCTTATTAGAGGCCCAGTGCTTATTAGAGACTTGACCTTTTTTAGAGGAAATATGGTATGTATTATAATAGTCACATTTATGCTGTGCTTTACTGGTCGCATGTGCCCTACTAACTGTAAGTTTCATAACAACTTGAATGTTGTGGAGTGAACAATCAAATTATAAGGCAGATTTTTAACAAATTAGATCAACTACTGTATGTTCTGCTTTTGGCTTGTTTAGTTTGATTGTACAGACATTAGTGAGATAAGTCATGTATAGCTGGGGCAAAACAAACATACACTGACTGTAGCCATGAATAAAATCCTGACCATACTAACCTGTTGTTGACTGCAGAAGGGGGTTGTTGTTGAAGCCATGAATAAAATCCTGACCATACTGACCTGTTGTTGACTGCAGAAGGGGGTTGTTGTTGAAGCCATGAATAAAATCTTGACCATACTGACCTGTTGTTGACTGCAGAAGAGGGTTGTTGTTGAAGCCATGAATGAAATCTTGACCATACTAACCTGTTGTTGACTGCAGAAGAGGGTTGTTGTTGTTGAAGCCATGAATGAAATCTTGACCATACTAACCTGTTGTTGACTGCAGAAGAGGGTTGTTGTTGTTGAAGCCATGAATGAAATCTTGACCATACTAACCTGTTGTTGACTGCAGAAGACCATACTAACCTGGTTGTTGTTGTTGAAGCCATGAATGAAATCTTGACCATACTAACCTGTTGTTGACTGCAGAAGAGGGTTGTTGTTGTTGAAGCCATGAATGAAATCTTGACCATACTAACCTGTTGTTGACTGCAGAAGAGGGTTGTTGTTGAAGCCATGAATGAAATCTTGACCATACTAACCTGTTGTTGACTGCAGAAGGGGTTGTTGTTGTTGAAGCCATGAATGAAATCTTGACCATACTAACCTGTTGTTGACTGCAGAAGGGGTTGTTGTTGTTGAAGCCATGAATGAAATCTTGACCATACTAACCTGTTGTTGACTGCAGAAGAGGGTTGTTGTTGTTGAAGCCATGAATGAAATCTTGACCATACTTGACCATACTAACCATGAATGTTGTTGACTGCAGAAGGGGTTGTTGTTGTTGAAGCCATGAATGAAATCTTGACCATACTAACCTGTTGTTGACTGCAGAAGAGGGTTGTTGTTGAAGCCATGAATGAAATCTTGACCATACTAACCTGTTGTTGACTGCAGAAGGGGGTTGTTGTTGTTGAAGCCATGAATGAAATCTTGAGAAGAGGGTTGTTGTTGTTGAAGCCATGAATGAAATCTTGACCATACTAACCTGTTGTTGACTGCAGAAGAGGTTGTTGTTGAAGCCATGAATGAAAAATCTTGACCATACTAACCTGTTGTTGACTGCAGAAGAGGGTTGTTGTTGTTGAAGCCATGAATGAAATCTTGACCATACTAACCTGTTGTTGACTGCAGAAGGGGGTTGTTGTTGAAGCCATGAATGAAATCTTGACCATACTGACCTGTTGTTGACTGCAGAAGGGGGTTGTTGTTGAAGCCATGAATGAAATCTTGACCATACTAACCTGTTGTTGACTGCAGAAGGGGTTGTTGTTGAAGCCATGAATGAAATCTTGACCATACTAACCTGTTGTTGACTGCAGAAGAGGTTGTTGTTCTTGAAGCCATGAATGGGTTGTTGACCATACTGACCTGTTGACCACTGCAGAAGAGGGTTGTTGTTGTTGAAGCCATGAATGAAATCTTGACCATACTAACCTGTTGTTGACCGCAGATCCATGGAGCTAATGAAAAGCTGAATGTGGGCTCCAAAGTTCGTCTTCAGCTGTTTCAGCCGCCAAACAGGTTCACCGTGAAGCCGAACAAGATCGAACTGTACCAGTGGTGGTACAGCCTGCCCCGGGTAGCATACCCATCCACTCTGTACATCACACTCAAGGGTATTACCCCACCAGATGAGGTGGAGCCAGCAGCCAGGTCCATGTTTGCCACTCAGGAGGTAACTCACACTTAGACGTAATTCTTTTGTGTCACAGGTATCAATGATAATGCTGAACTACACTCATGGTATCTCTCTCAGTCCACTCCACTCACTCCACTCCAAAACCCCAGCTCACTCCCACTCTCCCCTCTCCACTCCCTCCTCACTCAGCCTCACTCACTCACTCACTACCACTCTCACTCACTCACTCACTGGTTTGATTCCCGACCCCGTCATACCAAAAGGCTAAAATATGGTATTTGTTGGTCCCTGCCTGGCCTTCGGCATTAATGGGTACAACAAGGACTGTTCGAGTCAGTATAATGTGTCTGAGTGGGGTATTGATGTGGCATCACTGTGGCTCTCACCTCACTATAAAACCACCTCAAGTCTGGGCTCACCTCACATACACCTCCACCTCACCTCCACCATCACCTCACCTCACCTCCCACCTCACCACCTCACCTCACCTCACCTCACCTCCACCTCACCTCCACCTCCCTCACCTCCACCTCCACCTCCACCTCACCTCCACCTCCTCCACCTCCACCTCCACCTCCACCTCCACCTCCACCTCACCTCCACCTCCACCCTCATCCTCACCCTGACCTGACCTGACCTGACTCAACTCAACTCAACTCAACTCAACTCAACTCAACTCAACTCAACTCAACCACTGTAATTGGATTGCCTGGCCAAGATTTGATTCTTATATTGGTCACTCTCATGTGTCATTCCTTGATAGTAAGCTGTCTGTAAATCCACAAATTGATGGCACTTCAACTTCTTGTGTTTGGTGTTCTTCTGGTCTTATATACTGATTTTAGTAGTCTTCTTGCATGGTTTTCAGTAGGTGTTGAATGAAGAGTATTTTAATGGTAACTAAATTGAGAATATTATTCGTACCAGCTAATGGTTAGTTAATGGTATTTTGATGATTGATAAGCAGTAGTGCATGCAACCATCAACATGATCAGTTCATTCCTTGTTTGTTTGTGTGTTTATTCACACATGTAATTTACTTGCAGGAGAGGGGGAGGATGACGTATGACGACCTGAAGAAGAGCATGAACTGGTCTTCCAAGACAAAGTAAGATTTGCTTTGACATAAATCATATTATAATATTCTTGCTTAATACTTTACACAATATTTTCTTATTTCCATTTGGTATTAGGAAAGTTAACTCTGTTATGTTTGTAATGATTCAGACTTGAAGAGCGCAGACCTATGACATCATGGTCGAGACTCTTTGGTCAGATGTGTCGAATCCCCAACAACCTGATGTTGTCGCTACCGGCAGGGAGAAAGGGGTGCTATGTTCTCAAGTTCTCTCATGACGGGAGGTAAGATTTGCCATTGTACTTCTTTGGTTTAGTTTAGAAGTTTATTTGTGTAGAATTATTGGTACACATGCATTACACTGGATACCTGCCTACCATATTTAATTAGGTCACGTGATGCTTCTTATATTGAAAACCGCGCTCGAGCGCGGAAAGGTAAAAAAATATAAAACTGAGATGAAAATAACACCCAAATTTGAATTCCTTGACCCACTTCCGGTTTAACGGACCTAAACTACGAATTAAAATATGAGCGTAATACGTTAAAAGCATTAAACAAAATAATTACTAGAAAATAACATGCGCTATGCCTTCTGGGAAGCGGAACTGTTTCCCGTGGAAATGTTCTACAGGTAAGTGGTTTCTGATTGGTCCATTACTCTGTTACGTCACTACATAGTAACCACCTTATTTGGTCAATGTACAACTTCTAGTACTTTGTGCCTGCGTTAAAATGCGACTTTGGGATGTTTATCTGTTGAGTGAGGACAAGGAAGAATTGTTTTGTTGTTTTTTTGAGAACAAAGGGATTAGTTAGAAATTGGGTGGGGAAAAAAGTGCGGCAAGTGTGAGATTGGGACGTTTTATTTGTGCACGGACAAAAGTTTCGGCACAGACGGGAAGTGCTGGAAACGTAACAAGAAAGCGTGTGGGAAAAAGTTTTCAGTTCGCCACAACTCCTGGTTTGAAAATAGTAGACTTGAGAGTGGCACAAGTTTGCTTCTTACTTATTGTTGGGTTTGAAAGCTTCCACAGGATTTTGTACAGCGGGAGTTAGACATTTCATCAGGTCACACCGCTGTTGACTGGTACCATTTTTGTCGGGAAGTGTGTGTTGTATGTGCGGACGAGGACAGTGAACAGATTTTTGTGGGGTGGGGAGAATTGTCGAAATTGACGAATCAAAATTTGGAAAAAGGAAGTTCAATCGGGGGAAACGGGTGTAAGGGCAGTGGGTATTTGGGGAATTGACAGGGACAGTAAACAGTGCTTTTTTGCTTGTGTGGACAAGAGGGACTCGGCAACGTTGATTCCCATCATTCTCAAACACATAAGGCCGGGAACAAACGTCATAAGTGATTGCTGGCAAACATACACTTGTCTTCAGGAGGAAGACTTCACGCATCTGACTGTGAATCATTCTATTAACTTCAAAGATCCCGAGACAGGTGCCCACACCTATACGATAGAGTCATCCTGGGGCGCGTTAAAGCGATCCCTGCCTAGAACAGGTACGACGTGAGAACTCTACTCCTCTTATTTTGAGGATAAGTTTGCAGCATTCTTGCACTTAATAACAAGAGTATACAACCCACACCCTAAAGACTCAGAACTTGTGTCAGTCAGACGCCCCCTCGTACCACTAAATGTAAATGCGAACGACAGTTTGGATGACTTTGTGTTGTAATGGTAAGTACTTGCCGATTTGTTTATTGATGAATAATAAATACCTTCTAATAGCCCCCTTGAAAACGTCTGAAAGAAAACACCCCTTCGCGTAAGTATCCAATATGGCGGCGTAAACAGGTTTCCTTGTTGCTAGGGGCTTAAATGCCCAACTATTAGCGCATCCAAAGAAACGTTCCTTCCGGTATCCGGTATGATGCATTGTTTTTTCTTATCCTGACTCATGATCTTTTGCTTATCTCCCTTTTCTTTTCGAATGGTAGTTCAAACACTTGAATCCCTTGAAGTTCCCAAAGCGGACATAAAAATACACTCTCCCACGAGTTACCTCCCTTTTCCCGCGTAAACAGTCATGTTACCAGCCTTACTTGTCACTCTCTCCCTTTTTGCCCAAGTGGATGATTGAGTACGTTGCAGGGGCAGTCTGCTACGTCGCAGAAGAAAGCATCTGTTACCAGATCGGAGGGTAAATCTATGCTGCCTAGTAAGTCAACGTATCAGAAATCCTTCAACGAAGAGATATTACCTCCACATGAATAAGACGTTATTTGATGATCCTCCGTTACTTCTTCCCGAAGTACCTACGAGATCGGTGACTCAATCGACTTCCACCACTACTAGATCGTCTCCTGCAACGGTCACAGCAGGCCAGCTGTTTGACTACCACCAACTTCTCAACGGAGTGAAGTCGAGGCACACAACTCATCAGCGTTTGCGAATGCTTCTTTTACACCGCAGCAGCTTCAATCAATGCAGAACTTGGTCCGGGTGAAATTATGAGACAATTCACCAACCAGATGATGACCATGATGGAACGTAGGTTCGAGGAAGAAGCGAAGGTTCGGCAAAGCCTCTCATCTACTGACATAGTGGCGCGAACCTACGCACATGCGCGAACCTACGCACATGCGCGAACCTACTCCTCACAGAACTACGTCTCAAGACTACATTGGCGAACGTACACCTTTGCGAAGGTCTCCACAGTCGGACAACTCTGTCATCTTGGAGGAGGATAGAAGAGATGAGATGCCTACTCATCATACTACATCTGCGAACCCTCAACGTCCTTGAACGGACGTACAGATGATATTTTTAACACTCGTCACTCAGCGTGGGGATTAGGATTTTATAACTAGATTCAACATCGGTATTTCTTCAAGATCCATACAGACATATGTCTCGACAGCCTCCTTCATCATGCTGGCTTATATTATTCACAATGGGAATACGTGATTTATATCACTGAACAAGATTTTACACTTGGAGCAACCCTTATTCAAGAGGTTTATATGAGTGGCGTAGAATTACACGCGCTTTTACTCAACCAACTAATTGCATCAGATTTTATGGAGGCCAACTTGCTACAACACCGGTGACGTCATGCTTGGAAGCTGATTGGTCCACTTCAGACAACGCCTCCCACTGACAGAGCAGGCTCCAGCATGTTTTCTGATTTGTAAACAAACCTGTGGTACGGGGGAATACTTCATCGGCAGCCTTGGAAACAGTATACAACTACGGCCTGTTATCATCATGGGAATCTAATAGATGTCTAGCCTTGACAGCAGGATAAACAATGTTTATTTTGGAAGTTGTCGCTGATAAAAGTCGGTATGAGTACCTGTCCCCTGTGATGCTACACTGGAGCCAGCCTTGCTATAAATAGACAATGCTTCGATGTATGCTGATCAACACAGATCACCTGCGTATATAAGGGGAAGAATGATGTATCATCACTGCAATCAGAGGTTAGCACTTCCAATGGAACGTCCTACCGTTTGGAATATCGTCGGCTCTATGATTATTCATACGAATAACCAAGCCTATCAGCACCTATCTGCAGCTATCTGGATGACGGCATACAGGTTCTTCAAAGTGCCAATCAACTCAGACAGCAGCTGAACTTCACAATTAAGTTGCTCACGCAACTAGGATGGCTAGTTAACCTGATGAAGTTGGAGTTAGAATCAAACAAGATCTTCAATTGCTGGGAATAAGAATTATCACAACACAGAATCGAATTGTGGTCCCAAAGATCATGGGGTCAAGATACAAGCCATGATTCCAGGAATCACAGGGGAATCGCACAGGAAGGTTACAACTAAGACCGCTGCAACGGTTCCTGACAAAACATCTAGACAGCGTCGACCCAATCTTGCTGCCAGCAACCTCAAGAGGTATCTACTGTGGTGGACGCACAGGTCGAACGTTTGCGGAGGGACCTATTTACAAGAGCTGGCCTTCGACACACATCTCCACATAGACGCTTGGATGCAGGGCTGGGGTGTGCATCTCAACAATCAAGTTGCATCAGGAAGGTGGTCCAAAATAGAGCAGCATCTTCACATCAATCTGCTGGAGATGAAAGCCGTGATCAACGCCTTACAACTATGGTCGAGCTCGCTGAACAACAAAATGCTGATGGTCCACACGGAAAACTCTACAGTGGCATTCTCCATAAATCGGCAAGGATCCACAAAGTCTCCAAGCCTGCTACAGCTCACATTCCAGTTGTTCCACATCACGGAGGAAGCAAACATCTGGATAAAGGCGTGTCACATACCCGGGAGCCAAGAACGTACTTGCAGACGCTCTCTCCCAACCACTGCACCCGTCACCTACGGAATGGATGCTCCATCCAGAAGTGTTCCGGATCCCCTTGCATAGACCTGTTTGCCACGAGGTTCAACAAACAGGCGCTACAAGTCCACGGGAACCCGACAGTGTTCCAGCTACACATGTGCACCGTATCAAAACATGTTTGAAGAAAAGAGGATACTCTGCCAGGGCAGCCAAGGCAGTAGCGCTAGCATTACGCAGATCTACTCGTAACCTGTATGATGACAAATGGCTGAAGTTTGAGACTTATGCAAGGTGGAAAGGCTTCACTGCGATGAAAGCTACTCATCCTCAAGTGGCGGAATATCTGTGTCATCTTAGACAGACCAGACATCTGAAAGGTTCGACATTATCTACATACCTTGCCGCCATCAGTACAGTGATTACCATGAAAACAGGCATCAAGTTGACGAAAGTACCAGAATTACTTGCTCTGCTGAGATCTTTTAAACTGGAGGACCAGCAAAAAGAAGTTCAGAGCTCCAGCCTGGGATCTGAATGTAATTCTACGTCATCTTACGAGTGATGCCTACGAAACTCTAGACCAGACTACCCTTGAGCTGCTGACACAGAAGACTCTGTTCCTGCTTGCGCTAGTGACTGCAGCTCGAATATCAGAGATGCATGCGCTGGACTTTGGGCGAACCAGATTCGACACGGGGCAACATGCTGCAGTTCATCTAGGACTTAGATGGGACTTCATTGCCAAAAACCAACTACCTGGTCAGCTAAATAGACAGTTCCACATACCAGCGCTATCTACAATCCTCGGCCCAGAGGATGTAGAAGACCTATCCTTGTGTCCGGTCAGAGCCCTGAAGATATATCTTCAAAAGACTGAGACAAGGAGACAAAAATTCAAGCGCCTGTTCATCCCATTATCAACAGAGACATCAGCAGAAGTTCCAAGAATGACCATATCGTTCTGGATGAGAGCCGTCATATTGAGAGCCTATAAAGCAGCAGGACTAGAACCTCCTAGAGCTTCAAACCCACATGAAGTCAGAGCACTGGTGTCAACACTGGCTTTGCATGGAAATTGCTCTATACCAGCAATTATGGACGGCTGCTTTTGGAAGTCGGACACAGTGTTTGCCAGCCATTTCTTCCGAGACATAGCCACTGAAGACATCTCAGGCATTCACCAATTTGGGCCTCTCGTTGTAACCCAGCAACTAACGGTTCCTCAAAGGCGCTGAGGTGGAAAATCTCACCCTTTATCACGTTGACTTGTTGATAACTTTTTCTAAGGAAAAAGTATTAGTTTGAAAGTCCATGCGCACAGTCTAGGACAGGCTAGCATGAGTAATTAAAGATCCTGTACGGGTAAAGATCTTACCTGTACGTGAAGGGGTCGCAACTCATTTATGATAAAGATCTTATCATAATCTATGGGTTGTTATGAGATATCTAGTAATAAGAAGATACTAGTTTATCTGTAGCCACATGAATCAACACGATTCAACTTGTCTGAGATTGAAGTAAGACAAAGTGGTCCCCCAGAGTTTTAACAGAAGTTGGAAGAATAGGATCAAGGAAATGCCATTTCGCAGTTCTGGGGTGGGGGGTGGGGGGGGATACAGGACGTATCTAAGGACAGCTGATGGCTTGATCCACCACCAATCCGTCGGATTCTATAAGCAAAAGATCATGAGTCAGGATAAGAAAAAATATGTAATATTTCAATAAAAATTGATATTTTTATACTTATCCTGACTCATGACGAGAAGCCCTCCCAACCTACCCGCTGAAGACACTGTGGATTTCACAGCAGATCCAAGTGCATGGGCAGAAAATCAGGAGAGAGTGACAAGTAAGGCTGGTCACATGACTGTTTGCGCGGGAAAAGGGCAAAAGGGAGGTAACTTGTAGGTGAGTGTATTTTTACGTCCGCTGCGGGAACTTCAAGGGATTCAAGTGTTCCACTACCATTCGAAAAGGAAAGGGAGATAAGCAAAAGACCATAAGTCAGGATAAGTATAAAAATATCAATTTTACTTGAAAAATTACATTATCATAATATGCACAGGGGCTCTATATCAGTTGCTTTGAGACTTGTTTTGAATTCTCACATTTCACATCTTTCAGTGTTATTGCATAATATTACCTTGATCATTATGAAGATGTCGACAGTTGATGTTGATTTGTTCCAGGAACCTTGCTTGTGCATGTCAGGACAAGGAGGGTTACCCTATATATGTGTATGAGGTAAGTGAACCACCACCAGCCAGGGTTTAGTACATACACCAACAAATACTTGAACCATTACAAAGTCTTCCTTAAGTGGCATTTAGAAGCTGGTGAATATATAAGATGAGTATATGGATGGCAACTTCTTGTTTATTGTATATCACAACGTTTCTGGGCTACTTCTTGCCCCTTCTTCACCTGAAGAAACTTTTTATGGATAGACAACTTCTTTGTTGCAATAGATGCAACATTTTGATGTAGATCCAAACGTCTCGTTCATTCATCTTCTTTGATAATGTCTCCTTTGACTCAACAGTAATTCTCTAAATAAACAAGCTGACCAGGCTGTACCCATGCTATAATTCCTGCTGATGTTGTACTTTAGATTCCCTCAGGGACACTGAGAGGGGAGTTCTCTGGTCATTTCGGCATCATCTATGACCTCTGCTGGTCCAAGAAGGACACACACCTGTTATCAGCAGCCTCTGATGGAACTGCCAGGTAGAGACTTGTGGCATATTGTTTACCATTTCCGGCATTAGAAGGAATTATTTGTTAAGGATCAAAATCAACTCCATGGTTTTGTTTGACAAAGTAAACCCACAGCAGAAGAAAATTGGGGAGGGCTGATAGGCCCGACTCGAATTCCCGAGGCCAATCGCTTACTTTTTCAAACAAAACCATAGAGACGGGTTTGATCCGACTCATGAACCAACCGAAGATATACTTTAGATATAATATTAATATTTGGTATTTTCTGCGATGCGACTGGCAGCAGATACCTTGCCTTGCATACGCCATGTATGCGCTAAACGTGTCCTGCACGTGCGCTGCCGGCACTGCCCATCTTGTGAGGAACACATGGTTCATACTGACAAACAATCTCATTCTTCACAGCGATCCTTCGTAGCCTAGTGGATAAAACCTCCAAGCTAGAGAGCGAAGGGTTGCAGGTTCGAAACCAGGCATCGGCACAAAATACTGGAAGTTTTCAATAATGTGATATTTTACGATCATTATTCAGTAACAAATGTCCTGAGTGGGTGTCTGGCGATAGGCCATTGACCTAAAGCTCTTTTTGACATTTTTAAAATCCCAATGCCATCATATAACTAAATTGTTAATGACATTTAATGTTGCAACTTGGATTCTAGATATACATCCCACTGCTGATAAATAAATATATTTTTCTAATATTTTTCAAATAATACAACTACAACTTAAATAAATTGATTTTTTTAATTAAAATGCAAGCATTTATAATGTCCAGAAATATCACAAAAGAAGGAAAAACTATGGCGATTTTTTTCCATTTGTGACATGTCATAACATCCCCGTGCCTTTTTCTTTTATATTTTCATTTTTACGTGATCAGAAAATTATTATCAGAGACCATATAATATTATATGGTCTCTGTTATTATATAAAGATTTCTTAAATAATATGTATGGTCGCCTATTTCCCGATATCAGTGGCTTTCCGCTCGGTAACATGACACAACAACGGAAAAGGGGCCACGGAAAATACCTCCGTTTTCGAAGCTTCGTGTGAATAACATGCGAGGCGAATCGTATGATGGCGGGTATCGTTCGAAAGCTCTGAACATCAACAATATCACTATACCCTTGCCGAGTATTTTCACAGTTGTAAGAAGCCATTTTATTGGATAAAGATTGGTTTCTAATGGCGGCTTTTAATACAGTCTGCTATAAGGGTGGTGATTGGCCAAAATCAGACCGTGACATGAGACAACCAATCATATTACGGCAATGGATACCGTCCTCGTAAACGAAAACGTTTATATTTTGATCCGAAGTTTTGGGTAAAATAATGCTATTGAACATATTAAGCACGAAATCGCTATGTATCGTAAATTATGGAACTTATTGGGCGTATCGTGCTAGGTTATGACCTGTGACAAAAATGCTTCATGCATATATTTTTAAACTTTAAACATCGTGTCCAAAGCGTGAAGATTGAGGCGTAGCGAAGCGAGATGTCACTTGTCAGTGACTTGACTTGCATTACATGATCGCACAAAAGATGGAAATAGTAATTTTATATGCGTTTGACAACTTTTATGAATGCTATTGTTGATTTTATTCATTAGTTTATTCAAATTATTTAATGATTTCCTTGAAACATTGTTACATCTTGGTGGGGTCGGAAAGCCCGTTTCTGATTGTCCAATGCTTAAAATAGCAGCCAATCGGCGCAATACATTACTTGTACATTTGGTAGCTTAGTGTGATAAAAATGGATGCGTAAATACAAACACGCCGCGGAAACATGATCAAGGTTTCGTGGCTAGTTTTTGATGAATTTGTAAATGATAATGTTCGTAATTTGTTAGGTCCAATATGTGAAAATAACATTGAAATTAACGATCGGCCCGAGTGTCCTAAATAGTAAGAAAGTAGTCGGTCATTTGAAAATGTTATCGGACTATGACCGAAGGCCGATGACAATCTGAAACCCTGCAGTAATAGCAAGACAGTGTTATATAAATCTTCAAAACAAATAAAATAATTCAAAGTCAAGGGCTGTTCCTCAGAATATCCCTGGGCTGCGGGCAATTCTGTAGAAAATCCCCGCGATACTGACTAAAATACTGGCGAGACAATAGAGTGATGTCACTGGAGGTTTAACTTCTTTGAGTGGCATTTTAGAAGTTGGGAAGTACAATATAGAACAAACTTTATGGATAACAACTTCTTTTTATTCGTGAGTGCGATGTTTCGATACAGATTCTTGTACCGTTGTCAAGCATAATGGAACATGAAGAAGGGGGAAGTGTATATATACTGGATGTACCAGTCTATTTGATGATTGGGGCTTGCTTTGATGTGGACGGAAATGGCTGATTTGCGGTTGGAATTGGTAACAGAGGTCTGATGTTCTTACACTTGGGTGTTGATGGGTCGGGAAGTTTCGCCTATGTAGCTCTGCCCACAATCACAGTACTGGAGGTTTCTAATACAGACACCTGTCATGTCAACCTATCTTGTGTTTTTTTTCACTTCATGAGAGCATATTGTGGCAGTGTACTGTCAATACATATATGTCAGTGAGGTATAAATCTGTTATTCGAGTTCACTTCCGATCTCTATATATCGATATAATACAGTATGTTCCACTGAATTTAATCAGATAAGCATAGTCTCATATCTGAAGGCTATTTTAAGTGGGTCTCACTGTTTAGCCCCGAAGTCAATCTGATGAGCTTTTCTTAACAATGAGTTTTGGGGGCTGGGCACTAAACGGAAGTGATGTCACATATGCAGTGTGACCATGGCTGAAGACGACGATGCGATAGTTCTTAGTTTTAATGACAGTCTCATACGACAAGGAGACCTCCGACTTCTAGAAGACCCTGGTTGGCTAAATGATAAACTAATTATTTCTTGTAAACATCCACTTTTAATAGAAATTATAGAATTATATAATGATCTTGCAACTGGCCAATACGACATCATCCTCTGTTGGTTACCCAGCCACGTTGGCATTTCTGGGAATACCATGGCCGATCTTGCTGCCAAGGCAGCACTCAACAAATCTGTGACACCACTTCTGATCCCATACTCTGATTACAAAGCCAGCATTAGAACTTACATCCGTTATCTGATGCAAAAGAAGTGGGATGCCCAAGTAGGTATCAATAAATTACATGAAATCAAACCAACTATCGGTTACACCTACTTGGGTTGTCAGTCCAGATTTGAAGAGGTCATCATCACAATGTAACAATGTCACAAAGATACACTCACCACACCTAGATACACTCCTCGTTTTGTATCCCTTGATGAAAGAATCGCGGTCAAGCATGTCTCCTTGACTGTGTTGAGTACTCCATCACAAAGTGGGTAGCCTATGAAAGAATCACGCCGAAGACCAACATGGGCACAATGTGTTAAGCCCATTTCTGGTGTCCCCATGCCCGTGATATTGCTTGAATGTGTTGAGTTAAACTCAGTCAGTCAGTCCATCACAAGGGATATCTATTTCAAATCCCGAACTATGAAGGATCTTTTTACTAATATAAGTCCTCATTTAATTATTGCTTTTTTAAAAGACATAAATTTGTTAACAGATTTGTAAATAGCTAAATATTTTATGATTGGAAGTTTGAATTAGTAACATAGATTGTTAGTGGCTGTATCCTCGAGGGGGGTTAAAGTACTGTAAAATTATTGTCCTCCTGAGAGGGTACGTAAGTCCCAAAACATTCAAAGTAAATTTCAACTTTCCGTTTTTTAATCGTAGAATATTTGTAATTTTAATGTATGGCTAGATATGTCTTAATTGCTAACAGCTGAGGGAATGATATAAATCCAGCTAGGGTCCATGCAGGAAGCAAATGTACTGTAAGCCCCCATGGTCCCTAGTATGGTGATCTACCTTCAGTTGTTAGCGATCTATAGCTCATTTTTAGATTGTGTTGTCCCCTATGGTTAAAATGTTTTAGATTCAATTACTAGTTTTACATATATATATCTGTGATACTCTAGTTGCTTTACTGTCCTTTGATGACAGGTTTTATAATATATACATATTCCATTACAATGTAAAATGTTCTCGTCACGATATGGCTGAAATATTGCCGATGTGACGTTAAATATTAACTCACTCACTCACTCACTCTTAACAATGAGAGAAATAGCCAAGTGGTTCATGTGTTTGTTCATCACATCAGCAAACTGGTTTCCCAAACCTGATTAAAAGATGCAAATCCCATACTGTTGCCCCTTGCCATGATGTTACTCTGCTTAATATTGTTTGAAAGTGCATAAGATCTCACTTTAGCCATTTATGTCATCGTATTCTACTTTAGTCTGAACCTGCTTGATAGCTTATTGTACCTTAATATGCAGGGATAGAAATTTTTTTTTTCGTAAGTGTGCCTTAGGGCACCAGACAATATTTTAAGCGTGCCTTTCAGAAATCAAGTGTGCCCACATGTTTTTAGAATAAATGACAGTGATGATGATCATTTTGAATTTATTGTTAAGGAAAGAAATGGGTTTAGGAGCATTTAGATATGTATGGCATCATTCAATTTGGAAAAAAAAGTATTGTTTGGGGGATTAAATGATTAAAGGTGAATTATGTTCCCCAAAATTTAGGCATGCCATAACGGCACCGAGAACATTTCTTAACAGTGCCATTTCAGTATTTACCGTGCCATGGCATGCCAATATATGGAGTATTTCGAACCCTGATATGTAATGTGCTATTGATTCTCCAGAATCTGGGACCTGATGAACTTCGGTGGATCCTCTGATAAGCTTCTGCCTCACCCCGCCTTCGTGTACGCTGCCCAGTTCCACCCCCCGTGTTGACAACATCGTTGTAACAGGCGGCTATGACCAGGTGCTGCGGGTCTGGGATGTTCTTGGAGATGAACCTCATGGACAGGTCAGTACTGACCAATATATCAAACACTGAAATAGCAGTACATGAAACACCCAGTGAGACTGTAAGTGTTGGATAGTCAGTAAGAGTGTTTCCAGCCAGAAGTCCTCTGAGAACCCAGGTAGGTACTGACCGACCCACGCTTGTTGTAAGGTGGTCAGGGGGCGATGGGGTAGCCTAGTGGTTGTAGCATTCACTTGTCACGCCAAAGACCCGGGTTCGATTCCCCACATGGGTACAATGTGTGAAGCCCATTTCTGGTATTCCCAGTATTATATACTGTCACTGACAGGGTCTCAGCGCTATCCTTTTGTATAGTTTTAAGATGCCATGATGACGCTACCTTGATGCCTTGTTTTTTGCATTACATACCCCTCTGCTTGGCACTAGATTATATGAAAAGTACTGCATGAAATATGTGTATGTGTCCCAGATACTTGACATGGTTTGAAGAAGTTTGAGGGTGGTGGGGTAGCCTTGTGGTTAAAGCGTTCGCTCGTCATGCCAAAGACACAGATTCGTTTCCCCACATCGTTCAATTGTCAAGCCCATTTGTGGTGTCCTCAGCCGTGATATTGCAGAAATATTGCTAAAAGCGGTGCAACACTAAACTCACTCACTCACTTGAAGAACTTTGTTAGCATCCAACATATCAGTAATTACCAGTCTCTGTATTTGTGTATCTCTCCAGTTGATGTTAGCATCAAACATATCAGTAATTACCAGTCTCTGTATCTGTGTATCTCTCCAGTTGATGTTAGCATCCAACATATCAGTAATTACCAGTCTCTGTATCTGTGTATCCCTCCAGTTGATGTTAGCATCCAACATATCAGTAATTACCAGTCTCTGTATCTGTGTATCCCTCCAGTTGATGTTAGCATCCAACATATCAGTAATTACCAGTCTCTGTATTTGTGTATCCCTCCAGTTGATGTTAGCATCCAACATATCAGTAATTACCAGTCTCTGTATTTGTGTATCCCTCCAGTTGATGTTAGCATCCAACATATCAGTAATTACCAGTCTCTGTATTTGTGTATCTCTCCAGTTGATGTTAGCATCCAACATATCAGTAATTACCAGTCTCTGTATTTGTGTATCCCTCCAGTTGATGTTAGCATCCAACATATCAGTAATTACCAGTCTCTGTATCTGTGTCTCTCTCCAGTTGATGTTAGCATCCAACATATCAGTAATTACCAGTCTCTGTATTTGTGTATCTCTCCAGTTGATGTTAGCATCCAACATATCAGTAATTACCAGTCTCTGTATTTGTGTATCCCTCCAGTTGATGTTAGCATCCAACATATCAGTAATTACCAGTCTCTGTATTTGTGTCTCCCTCCAGTTGATGTTAGCATCCAACATATCAGTAATTACCAGTCTCTGTATCTGTGTATCCCTCCAGTTGATGTTAGCATCCAACATATCAGTAATTACCAGTCTCTGTATTTGTGTATCTCCAGTTGATGTTAGCATCCAACATATCAGTAATTACCAGTCTCTGTATTTGTGTATCCCTCCAGTTGATGTTAGCATCCAACATATCAGTAATTACCAGTCTCTGTATTTGTGTATCCCTCCAGTTGATGTTAGCATCCAACATATCAGTAATTACCATTTGTGTATCCCTCCAGTTGATGTGTAGTATCCAACATATCAGTAATTACCAGTCTCTGTATTTGTGTATCCTCCAGTTGATGTTAGCATCCAACATATCAGTAATTACCAGTCTCTGTATCTGTGTATCCCTCCAGTTGATGTTAGCATCCAACATATCAGTAATTACCAGTCTCTGTATTTGTGTATCCCTCCAGTTGATGTTAGCATCCAACATATCAGTAATTACCAGTCTCTGTATTTGTGTATCCCTCCAGTTGATGTTAGCATCCAACATATCAGTAATTACCAGTCTCTGTATTTGTGTATCCTCCAGTTGATGTTAGCATCCAACATATCAGTAATTACCAGTCTCTGTATCTGTGTATCCCTCCAGTTGATGTTAGCATCCAACATATCAGTAATTACCAGTCTCTGTATTTGTGTATCCCTCCAGTTGATGTTAGCATCCAACATATCAGTAATTACCAGTCTCTGTATCTGTGTATCTCTCCAGTTGATGTTAGCATCCAACATATCAGTAATTACCAGTCTCTGTATTTGTGTATCTCTCCAGTTGATGTTAGCATCCAACATATCAGTAATTACCAGTCTCTGTATTTGTGTATCTCTCCAGTTGATGTTAGCATCCAACATATCAGTAATTACCAGTCTCTGTATTTGTGTCTCCCTCCAGTTGATGTTAGCATCCAACATATCAGTAATTACCAGTCTCTGTATTTGTGTATCTCTCCAGTTGATGTTAGCATCCAACATATCAGTAATTACCAGTCTCTGTATTTGTGTATCCTCCAGTTGATGTTAGCATCCAACATATCAGTAATTACCAGTCTCTGTATTTGTGTATCCCTCCAGTTGATGTTAGCATCCAACATATCAGTAATTACCAGTCTCTGTATCTGTGTATCTCTCCAGTTGATGTTAGCATCCAACATATCAGTAATTACCAGTCTCTGTATTTGTGTATCCCTCCAGTTGATGTTAGCATCCAACATATCAGTAATTACCAGTCTCTGTATCTGTGTATCCTCCAGTTGATGTTAGCATCCAACATATCAGTAATTACCAGTCTCTGTATTTGTGTATCTCTCCAGTTGATGTTAGCATCCAACATATCAGTAATTACCAGTCTCTGTATTTGTGTCTCCTCCAGTTGATGTTAGCATCCAACATATCAGTAATTACCAGTCTCTGTATCTGTGTATCCCTCCAGTTGATGTTAGCATCCAACATATCAGTAATTACCAGTCTCTGTATTTGTGTATCCTCCAGTTGATGTTAGCATCCAACATATCAGTAATTACCAGTCTCTGTATTTGTGTATCCTCCAGTTGATGTTAGCATCCAACATATCAGTAATTACCAGTCTCTGTATTTGTGTATCCCTCCAGTTGATGTTAGCATCCAACATATCAGTAATTACCAGTCTCTGTATTTGTGTATCTCTCCAGTTGATGTTAGCATCCAACATATCAGTAATTACCAGTCTCTGTATTTGTGTATCCCTCCAGTTGATGTTAGCATCCAACATATCAGTAATTACCAGTCTCTGTATTTGTGTATCCCTCCAGTTGATGTTAGCATCCAACATATCAGTAATTACCAGTCTCTGTATTTGTGTATCTCTCCAGTTGATGTTAGCATCCAACATATCAGTAATTACCAGTCTCTGTATTTGTGTATCCCTCCAGTTGATGTTAGCATCCAACATATCAGTAATTACCAGTCTCTGTATCTGTGTATCCTCCAGTTGATGTTAGCATCCAACATATCAGTAATTACCAGTCTCTGTATTTGTGTATCCCTCCAGTTGATGTTAGCATCCAACATATCAGTAATTACCAGTCTCTGTATTTGTGTATCTCCAGTTGATGTTAGCATCCAACATATCAGTAATTACCAGTCTCTGTATTTGTGTATCCCTCCAGTTGATGTTAGCATCCAACATATCAGTAATTACCAGTCTCTGTATCTGTGTATCTCTCCAGTTGATGTTAGCATCCAACATATCAGTAATTACCAGTCTCTGTATTTGTGTATCCCTCCAGTTGATGTTAGCATCCAACATATCAGTAATTACCAGTCTCTGTATTTGTGTATCCTCCAGTTGATGTTAGCATCCAACATATCAGTAATTACCAGTCTCTGTATTTGTGTATCCTCCAGTTGATGTTAGCATCCAACATATCAGTAATTACCAGTCTCTGTATTTGTGTATCCCTCCAGTTGATGTTAGCATCCAACATATCAGTAATTACCAGTCTCTGTATCTGTGTATCCCTCCAGTTGATGTTAGCATCCAACATATCAGTAATTACCAGTCTCTGTATTTGTGTATCCCTCCAGTTGATGTTAGCATCCAACATATCAGTAATTACCAGTCTCTGTATTTGTGTATCCCTCCAGTTGATGTTAGCATCCAACATATCAGTAATTACCAGTCTCTGTATTTGTGTGTATCCCTCCAGTTGATGTTAGCATCCAACATATCAGTAATTACCAGTCTCTGTATTTGTGTATCCCTCCAGTTGATGTTAGCATCCAACATATCAGTAATTACCAGTCTCTGTATTTGTGTATCTCCTCCAGTTGATGTTAGCATCCAACATATCAGTAATTACCAGTCTCTGTATTTGTGTATCCTCCAGTTGATGTTAGCATCCAACATATCAGTAATTACCAGTCTCTGTATTTGTGTATCCCTCCAGTTGATGTTAGCATCCAACATATCAGTAATTACCAGTCTCTGTATTTGTGTATCCCTCCAGTTGATGTTAGCATCCAACATATCAGTAATTACCAGTCTCTGTATCTGTGTATCCTCCAGTTGATGTTAGCATCCAACATATCAGTAATTACCAGTCTCTGTATTTGTGTATCCCTCCAGTTGATGTTAGCATCCAACATATCAGTAATTACCAGTCTCTGTATTTGTGTCTCCCTCCAGTTGATGTTAGCATCCAACATATCAGTAATTACCAGTCTCTGTATTTGTGTATCTCTCCAGTTGATGTTAGCATCCAACATATCAGTAATTACCAGTCTCTGTATTTGTGTATCCCTCCAGTTGATGTTAGCATCCAACATATCAGTAATTACCAGTCTCTGTATTTGTGTATCCCTCCAGTTGATGTTAGCATCCAACATATCAGTAATTACCAGTCTCTGTATTTGTGTATCCCTCCAGTTGATGTTAGCATCCAACATATCAGTAATTACCAGTCTCTGTATTTGTGTATCTCTCCAGTTGATGTTAGCATCCAACATATCAGTAATTACCAGTCTCTGTATTTGTGTATCCTCCAGTTGATGTTAGCATCCAACATATCAGTAATTACCAGTCTCTGTATTTGTGTATCTCTCCAGTTGATGTTAGCATCCAACATATCAGTAATTACCAGTCTCTGTATTTGTGTATCTCTCCAGTTGATGTTAGCATCCAACATATCAGTAATTACCAGTCTCTGTATTTGTGTATCTCTCCAGTTGATGTTAGCATCCAACATATCAGTAATTACCAGTCTCTGTATTTGTGTATCTCTCCAGTTGATGTTAGCATCCAACATATCAGTAATTACCAGTCTCTGTATTTGTGTATCCCTCCAGTTGATGTTAGCATCCAACATATCAGTAATTACCAGTCTCTGTATTTGTGTATCCCTCCAGTTGATGTTAGCATCCAACATATCAGTAATTACCAGTCTCTGTATCTGTGTATCCTCTCCAGTTGATGTTAGCATCCAACATATCAGTAATTACCAGTCTCTGTATTTGTGTATCCCTCCAGTTGATGTTAGCATCCAACATATCAGTAATTACCAGTCTCTGTATTTGTGTATCCCTCCAGTTGATGTTAGCATCCAACATATCAGTAATTACCAGTCTCTGTATTTGTGTATCCCTCCAGTTGATGTTAGCATCCAACATATCAGTAATTACCAGTCTCTGTATTTGTGTATCCCTCCAGTTGATGTTAGCATCCAACATATCAGTAATTACCAGTCTCTGTATTTGTGTATCCCTCCAGTTGATGTTAGCATCCAACATATCAGTAATTACCAGTCTCTGTATTTGTGTATCCCTCCAGTTGATGTTAGCATCCAACATATCAGTAATTACCAGTCTCTGTATTTGTGTATCCCTCCAGTTGATGTTAGCATCCAACATATCAGTAATTACCAGTCTCTGTATTTGTGTATCTCTCCAGTTGATGTTAGCATCCAACATATCAGTAATTACCAGTCTCTGTATTTGTGTATCTCTCCAGTTGATGTTAGCATCCAACATATCAGTAATTACCAGTCTCTGTATTTGTGTATCTCTCCAGTTGATGTTAGCATCCAACATATCAGTAATTACCAGTCTCTGTATTTGTGTATCCCTCCAGTTGATGTTAGCATCCAACATATCAGTAATTACCAGTCTCTGTATCTGTGTATCCCTCCAGTTGATGTTAGCATCCAACATATCAGTAATTACCAGTCTCTGTATTTGTGTATCCCTCCAGTTGATGTTAGCATCCAACATATCAGTAATTACCAGTCTCTGTATTTGTGTATCCCTCCAGTTGATGTTAGCATCCAACATATCAGTAATTACCAGTCTCTGTATTTGTGTATCCCTCCAGTTGATGTTAGCATCCAACATATCAGTAATTACCAGTCTCTGTATTTGTGTATCTCTCCAGTTGATGTTAGCATCCAACATATCAGTAATTACCAGTCTCTGTATTTGTGTATCCCTCCAGTTGATGTTAGCATCCAACATATCAGTAATTACCAGTCTCTGTATTTGTGTCTCCCTCCAGTTGATGTTAGCATCCAACATATCAGTAATTACCAGTCTCTGTATTTGTGTATCCCTCCAGTTGATGTTAGCATCCAACATATCAGTAATTACCAGTCTCTGTATTTGTGTCTCCCTCCAGTTGATGTTAGCATCCAACATATCAGTAATTACCAGTCTCTGTATTTGTGTATCCCTCCAGTTGATGTTAGCATCCAACATATCAGTAATTACCAGTCTCTGTATTTGTGTATCTCTCCAGTTGATGTTAGCATCCAACATATCAGTAATTACCAGTCTCTGTATTTGTGTCTCCCTCCAGTTGATGTTAGCATCCAACATATCAGTAATTACCAGTCTCTGTATTTGTGTATCCCTCCAGTTGATGCAGGAGATTGAGAACCACCACGGCCACATCAACAGCATTTGTTTTGATGAGGAGGGACAGAAGATGTACTCTGCTGACAGTTCTGGTGCTGTCTTCATCTGGAATGTCTACGTTACAGAGCAAGAATCTCGCCGAGGTATCTCTCTTTGATAGCCGTTACTTAATAAAGACCACAAATGTTATCTGTCATTTGTTTCGTGCCCTACTCATGTCAGGGGGTATATATTGTAAGAATAATCTATAGGGTCTTCATTTGGGAATATTCTCTTGAACAGAGAGAGAGAGAGATTGTGAGTAAGATAGTTAATTATGTACATGGCTTCTGAGTGAATGTTACTATACTGTTGTTGACAATGTTGAGATTTTCAAGTATCAAATATGGAATAGTCTCTCTTGCTACTCTCTTGTCAGTGCTGTTTTTACTTTTCAGCATTTATTCGAGAATGGACAATATTCCTCGAAATCCGGGATCCAGAATTGAAGGTAAACCTGTTGTCTCCCTTGGTGAAGTAAAAAGCATTGGATTAAAACATGTGAACAGTCTGAATGACATGAATTGCACTTTGAGTGAAAGCATCTTAGTATTGCATTTAACATCTTTTGCTGAAATATTTTCTTTTTTTTATAAATTTTACTATAGATTTTATATGTACGTTTTCTGCTTGTAGAATGTTGCCATCAACAGTATTAGGATGCACCCAAGTGGGCGTCGATTGCTACTCCACTGTCGAGACAACATCCTCCGCATGCTGGACCTCAGAGTGTGAGTGGGAAAAATATATTGTTTCTTTTCCTCCGGAGCAATAGGGTGGCCATGTGGTTAAAGTATTCCCTTGTCAAGCCCAAGTCCAGAGTTCGATTCTCCCATGGGTACAATATACATGTGAAGCCTTTTACACATCACGACCCGTGAAGATCTGGGGTAGAATAGGTCTTCAGCAACCCATGCTTGCCACAAAAGGCAACTATGCTTGTCGTAAGAGGCGACTAAGGGGGTCGGGTGGTCAGACTCGCTGACTTGGTTGACACGTGTCATCAGTTCCAGATTGTTGTGCATGATGTTGATCACTGGATTGTCTGGTCCAAACTCGATCATTACAGACCTCCGCCATATAGCTGGAATATTGCTGAGTGCGGCGTAAAACTAAACTCACTCACTCACTCCAACACATCACATCAGAACTATGGAGATGTAATCTCCAATGTTAACAAGATTTCCTGTACAAGCTTATCATTACAGAATCTTGTTTCATTAATATGTTTCTTGTATTTCAGACAACGAATTATGCAGAATTATATTGGTGCCTTAAACTTCCGTGAAAAGATCCGTAGTGCTATCTCACCGTGCGGGACGTTTGTGTTTGCCGGCAGTGAAGATAACACTGCATATGTGTGGAACACAGAGACAGGTAACACATCTTACCCATGTCACTCAGTATATCATCATGCTTAATCAGATTCTCCAGTGTTCTATACATTGAGCTCATAGAATTTTACTCTGCTCAAAAACCTTCCGATATAACTCGCATAAAACTCAACAACTGGACATGCTGAAGGACATATTGCTTGATACATTGTGAAATTCTTGAAGCCATACAGCATGGCTGACAACAGTTCCTAACATCTTTGTTGATGAAAATGTTGTGGAAATATATTGCAAAAATTTTCACAGTGCAGTCCCAGGTTCCACAATATATTGCAATAAACATCCAATACAGACCCAACATTGCAATACACATGGCAATACAGTCCCAATTATGCAATATCTCGCCATATAGAATACCAGGCAAGACACAGCCTTTATACTTGACCACATCCACATTCCAGGAGACCAAGTTGCCCGGTACTCTGAACTCAACTACCAGAGACCTGTCACAGACCTGGACTACCACCCCCGTGACCACATCCTCGCGATCTGCTCCCTCGGAGACAACCAGCCAGTGCTAGTCTACAACTACGACCCACAGGGCGAGTTCATGGCCTAGTGTTTGCTTCATGTGGAAATTAGTTCACATTCCATTTGAACTGAAGATGCTCTGGACCTTTCTTTTTATTTCTGGAGTCCGCTGGCTAATGATCCAAGAGGCTTGGATGTGATATGCTTGTAACAGTTGATGAAATATCTGTAGAGTCAGTTATCAGTTGCTGAACCTATACCAGCATCATCAGCTGATTATTCTTGCAATAAAAAATAGCTATGGTATATCAGTAAGTGAGTGAGTATAATTTTACGCTGCTTTTAGTAGTATTCCAGCAATAATGTGGCAGGGAACACCAGAAATGGGCTTCACACGTTGTACCCATGTGGGGAATCAAACTCGGGTCTTCGGCGAGATGAGTGATCTCTTTAACCACGGGGGCTATCCCACCACTCTTTAATGGTATAACAGGGACAATGGGGTAGGCTAGCGTTCACTTGTCCCACCTAAGGCACAGGTTTGATTCCCCAATAGATACAATGGGCGAAACCAGTTTCTGGTGTCCTCCAATGTGATAATACAGGAATATTGCTGAAAACGGCAAAATATCATAATCACTTTATCTCTCACTCAGTGTTATGCCATGGATACTAGTATTTATCATTTATACAATGAGATCTGACAATTTACAAATTATGAGACACACCTTGAAATGTTTGAGGCTGTTTGTTCCACAGTGGCTCACATAGGAATGGGGCTGTCTTTCCCCTCCAAGGAGCCGGATGATACCACCGACGTTGAAGATATCAACACGTCTCGGACGACAGGCAGGAAGAGGTGAGGACAGACCTATGTTTACGTCAGCAGGCATTCAAGCATCAACAATCTACTCAGTATTTGAGCATGTTAGTTGTACTGGTAGTCAGGTAATGAATTCGTCCCACTTCACAATCCTGAAAGTACTGAACCCGTGAAGATCTGGGTTAGAATTGAATTTCAGTAACCCATGCTTGTCGTAAGAGGCAACTAACAGGATTGGATGGTCCTATCAGGCTTGCTGACTTGGTTGACACATGTTATCGTATCCCAATCAAATAGATCGATGCTCATGCTGTTGATCACTGGATTGTCTGATCCAGACTCGATTATTTACAGACCGCCGCCATATAGCGGGAATATTGCTGAGTGCGGCGTAAAACTAAACTCACTCACTCACTGAAAGTACTGACCTCATTATTACTGACAAATGTGACCTGTATCCTTACAGCCCTGTTCAGACTGATGACCAGCTCAACTCTGCCAGGTCACAGGTGTTCTCAAAAGGAGAGTTTGAAGCCCACGAGAAATCGCGGTACAGTCGGGTTATGCGGAAGCTGGACAGTGCCACAGTGAGTACCTACTTGGGCAGTAACCTGAATAAGTCATCCTGTAATACTTGTTCACATCTGTAACCTGTTGTGGAGATCGGGTGCCCATGCTCGCTGACTTGGTAGACATGTGCCATCATATCCCAATTGCACATATCAATGCTCATCATCAATCTATTGTTTGGTTAGACTCGATTATATACAGACCGCCGCCATATAGCTGAAATATTGCTGAGTGCGGAGTTAAACAACAAACAATGTAAGCAGTTGTCAAGAAAACATGATGATGATTACTTCATTGCTTCATTCACATGTAGGGAGGTGGCGTAGCCTAGTGGTTAATGTGTTGGCTCATCGCGTCGAAGATCTGGGTGCGATCCCCAACATGGGTACAATGTGTGAAGCCCATTTCTGGTATCCCCTGCCATAATATTGCTGGAATATTGCTAAAAGCGGTGTAAAACCCAACTCACTCACTCACTCACTCACTCACTCATACACATGTAGGTTTTATAAATGTTCAACACTGACGACTTTCCAGTCATCCTGTGACTTTCCCTAGCAGACTTTGTCTATCTGTCTGTTTTATAGTAATTCCATGCGAACACTTCAATATTGTGTGTTCCAGCTTCAGATGGCAGCCCAGGGACCACTATTCCAGATGCCAGAGTCCCACCCATTTGGAGCCTCACCCGGGTCTACCTCCATCTGGGATGGGATCAATGTTTGAACAGAGCTATGGCCTTACACCAAGAGCTGTGAGTGGATCTCGTCTCACTGCACAGAGAGGATTCGTCATATCTTATTGACAGTCTTAAATCAACTGCATGATGATGCGAAAATGGTTTATCTTGTTTTCAAAATCTAATGACACCTCAGGGAGGTGTTCTTCTAATGAACCGTTTAGAAAATGTGTCTCTTCAGTGATACTATCTGCCAGCAAAATGATCATTTAATTAATGATCTGATGATGTTGAGAAATATATTTGACGTTTGGATAAAATGGTTGCTAATCATCTGATGGAGATTTCCGGGGGGAGTTGGTCTGTAGTGTCATCATAACTTCACAGTATGGGTTGTTGTTCATATTGTCAACCCCTGGTTTTGTCGGGTCTAGTCTTTGGTGTAAAACAGCAGTTACATTCAAAGGCTCTTGCATTATCAAGATTTCGAAATTTAACCATTTTGTATGTTGTTTGTTGTGTAACACTGTGGTGAGCAATATTCCAGCTTTATGGGGGCGGTCTGTAATTATTGAGTCTGGATCAGGCAATCCAGTCATCAACAGCATGAACATTGTTTCATGCACCCGGATCTTCACAGGTTTAAGTCAGGTTTGTAACCTTCTCTAGGTTATTTAGGGGTGGTGGGGGTAGCTTAGTGGTTAAAGCGTTTGCTTTCGTCAGCTGAAGACCATGGTTCGATTCTCAACATGGGTACAATGTGTGAAGTCCATTTCTGGTCTCCCCACCGTGATATTGTTGGAATATTGCTAAAAGCGGTAAAACTAAACTCACTCACTCACTCAGACTGATGACCAGCTCAACTCTGCCAGGTCACAGGTGTTCTCAAAAGGAGAGTTTGAAGCCCACGAAAATCGCGGTACAGTCGGGTTATCGCGGAAGCTGGACAGTGCCACAGTGAGTACCTACTTGGGCAGTAACCTGAATAAGTCATCCTGTAATACTTGTTCACATCTGTAACCTGTTGTGGAGATCGGTGCCCATGCTCGCTGACTTGGTAGACATGTGCCATCATATCCCAATTGCACATATCAATGCTCATCATCAATCTATTGTTTGGTTAGACTCGATTATATACAGACCGCCATATATATAGCTGAAATATTGCTGAGTCGCGGAGTTAAACAACAAACAATGTAAGCAGTTGTCAAGAAAACATGATGATGATTACTTCATTGCTTCATTCACATGTAGGGAGGTGGCGTAGCCTAGTGGTTAATGTGTTGGCTCATCGGCGTCGAAGATCTGGGTGCGATCCCCAACATGGGTACAATGTGTGAAGCCCATTTCTGGTATCCCCTGCCATAATATTGCTGGAATATTGCTAAAAGCGGTGTAAAACCCAACTCACTCACTCACTCACTCACTCACTCATACACATGTAGGTTTTATAAATGTTCAACACTGACGACTTTCCAGTCATCCTGTGACTTTCCCTAGCAGACTTTGTCTATCTGTCTGTTTTATAGTAATTCCATGCGAACACTTCAATATTGTGTGTTCCAGCTTCAGATGGCAGCCCAGGGACCACTATTCCAGATGCCAGAGTCCCACCCATTTGGAGCCTCACCGGGTCTACCTCCATCTGGGATGGGATCAATGTTTGAACAGAGCTATGGCCTTACACCAAGAGCTGTGAGTGGATCTCGTCTCACTGCACAGAGAGGATTCGTCATATCTTATTGACAGTCTTAAATCAACTGCATGATGATGCGAAAATGGTTTATCTTGTTTTCAAAATCTAATGACACCTCAGGGAGGTGTTCTTCTAATGAACCGTTTAGAAAATGTGTCTCTTCAGTGATACTATCTGCCAGCAAAATGATCATTTAATTAATGATCTGATGATGTTGAGAAATATATTTGACGTTTGGATAAAATGGTTGCTAATCATCTGATGGAGATTTCCGGGGGGAGTTGGTCTGTAGTGTCATCATAACTTCACAGTATGGGTTGTTGTTCATATTGTCAACCCCTGGTTTTGTCGGGTCTAGTCTTTGGTGTAAAACAGCAGTTACATTCAAAGGCTCTTGCATTATCAAGATTTCGAAATTTAACCATTTTGTATGTTGTTTGTTGTGTAACACTGTGGTGAGCAATATTCCAGCTTTATGGGGGCGGTCTGTAATTATTGAGTCTGGATCAGGCAATCCAGTCATCAACAGCATGAACATTGTTTCATGCACCCGGATCTTCACAGGTTTAAGTCAGTTTGTAACCTTCTCTAGGTTATTTAGGGGTGGTGGGGTAGCTTAGTGGTTAAAGCGTTTGCTCGTCACGCTGAAGACCATGGTTCGATTCTCAACATGGGTACAATGTGTGAAGTCCATTTCTGGTCTCCCCCACCGTGATATTGTTGGAATATTGCTAAAAGCGGCGTAAAACTAAACTCACTCACTCACTCACTCACTCACTCACACACGATTATTTTACAACCATAAAACATCGACTTATCTGGACGTTGTCACTCCTCTCTCCAACAGTCAGTATTACCGAGCACGTTCTCACCGCACGCACCGCAGTCGATGTCGACCATGATGCAACACCAACAGTACTCCAACCAGAATCTCTACCTCAGACAAACCGATGGATGGAGGCCTACATTCTCAGAGGGTGAGTAGAACCATAACATGCTGCCTGGAAAAGAGAGAAATAGAGATTATTAACCGAATGTGTTCCTGTATCATTAATATCATAGTTTTAGGAATGCATATTTTTTATTCCTAATAAATGATATTAATGATATGGAAACACACAAGATTAATAATCTCTTTATCATATAGTGTCATTCTTAAAATTACTCTAAAAACGATCAAATCGCATGTGAATTTATATGAAGAGACTTGAGCATTCGCGTAAGAATACTTAGCGGTACACCAAGGTGAAGGTTGTTCATGAAACCCCCCCTGTACAGTCGAGACGTCATCAATAAAATATTAACGTTTTAGGATATGTATGGTGCGTATGGAGGTTTGTGAAAGTAGTTCGTGTATCGACATAATTTGCATATTTATCAGATTTGGATACCAAGTTAATCAGATTGCTTTATTGCACCGATAATACTCCATCATATGATAAAATGTTTTTCTTTCATTCGAAAGAAGATTTGATTTGAGTTTTCATGCTGCATGATGGCTGTCACTTCATGATGGTTGTCGAGTCTGAACCGCACAATCGGCATTGGTTGTTCTAATTTGAATTGTATCGGTTGCTATGTACATGAATTACAATTGTTGCTTCTACTATTATACAGATTTAAAAAAAGGTTTGGTAGAGAGGTAGCCATGAAGCTAAAGTGTTCAATCATCTTGTAGGAGGTCCAGGTTTGATTCCCCACATAGGAACAATGTGTGAAGCATTTTCTGGTGTCCCCTGCCGGGATGTTGCTGAAATATTGCTGAAAGTGGTGTAAAACCATACTCACTCACATTCAAGATACAAAAACTTCACTGAAATGTATGCAACTATCTTCAGAGAACTAGGATATTCATGAATTATCAAGAACTTAATGAGAGTTTGAAGAAAGAGCGAAGTATTTAATAAGATGAATCAGACTCTCCAACAGTCAACAGGGAACGTCAAGGTTACTTGAGTGTACATGTATATCCTTGTAGCTTCAATTAAGCTCAGAAGAGCTACAAACGAAGACAAATAACTAAACTATTCAAGATGTCCTGGGTTCTGTTCATAGAAGTCATCATAGCTCCCATACATTTATATAGACTTTCATACCACTGTAATCAATGTGTAGTGCAGGGCTGATCATTGGTCTTTCTTGTTAAGGTTGTGCTGTACTTTAAGGGTCTTTGAAACTGGGGGCAGTGGGGTAGATTGATGGTTAAAGCGTCAGTTCGTCACGCTGAAGACCCCACATGGGCACAATGTGTGAAGTCCATTTCTGGTGTCCCCTGCCATGATGTTGCAGGAATATTGCTAAAAGCGGAGTAAAATCATATTCACTCACTCATTGAAACTGATCCTGGGTTCGAATCCTGGATCCGACATGATTATTTGACTGTGATCCTTTGTATGTGAGCATCTTATCTGTGGTTAGAGTTATTTGCTCTAGAATGTTTATGGTGTGCAACATTAGGACTTTCTCTCTCGTTATGCGGACACGCTATTATAAAACACAAACAGGGTTCAAAAGCAGAATCAGACCCAACTCACTCGCTAACTCATGTTACAGTTGGCCAGAGGGGAGGCAGCAGAAGCTCCAGCCCCACGTTCTACGGACGCCCTCATCAACTCTCTCTCAGCGCTGTGAGTATACCACTCTATATCAGTGTCGCTTTATTTACCTGATTGACTCACTTGGTCCTGAGGTGCCATCAAAATGAAATTATCTAAGTGCTGTGAAAACACAATTCCAACTAAAATGTCCCTTGAAAGATTTTTTCAATAAAGGAAATAGAAGGAAAAAGTGTAAAATGACTGTAAGCTATACAGGAGGCTTCTTTATTGATTTTTTTCGAAAGTAGTGACAGATTATTACTTTCATTTCAATAACTAATGTACAAGAATATATTTTTCGTAAATTTATGATGTGAATTTCTTTCCTACAGCTGTTGACCACTATGCAACGTGTGAGTCTGTGTTCAGTAAAATGGGACTCATACTCTTAATTATCAGGGATCCTGAACTACAAAATGGGGGTCCCAGACACTTAATTATTATTATTATTAATACTATGTTACAATATTGTTGTAATTCAGTTACTGTTATTGTATTGTGTATCATGATCAGCACATGGTTACAGTAATTAAATTGCAAATGATACCATAACCCAGCTAGTAGCAGACTCAGTGATACCTTATTGTTATTTGATTGAAATTTGTACAAAAAGTATTGGGATTTTTTCTGCGTCCCTGTGTACACACTTATAAATTTCGTTGCGTCCATTGACAATTTTTATGCGTATAAGACGCAGGAATCCCTGATCAATTTGTTCAAATATGTTTTCTCAGAGCTGTTTGTTTCCTAAATACAGAGGTATTTTAACATCGCATCCAGTTCAATAGTTACCGGTATGTCTCCCCCCGAGATACTTAGAGATTTTGAAATTGAATGGGGGCGGTGGGGTAGCCCAGTGGTTAAAGCATTGGCTCGTCACGCCGAAGACCCGGGTTCGAATCCCCACATGGGTACAATGTGTGAAACTCATTTGTGGTGTCCCCAGCCGTGATGTCGCTGGAATATTGCTAAAAGCGACGCAAAACCAAACTCAGTCAGTCAGTCAGTTGAAATTGAATGAATCAAATGAATTGTTTGAGGTCTCAATGTTGAATTGGGGGAAGGGGGAGACATCTGTTTTTACGAGAAAAACACTTTTTAGTTTGAATCTTAGCATCGAAGACGCTTCCTCTTCCTCCCTGATATCAGAGACATACAAGTTAGCTCTGCAAAATCTTAGCAAGCTGTAAGAATATGAGTGGGTGGCTGGGTGAACACAGTTATGTGTCCGTAACTAAAACAGTTAGATACAGTTGGCCTTCAGTAACCCATGCTTGTCATAAGAGGCGACTAACGGGATCGGGTGGTCAGGCTCGCTGACTTGGTTGACACATGTCATCGTATCCCAATTGCATAGATCGATGCTCATGCTGTTGATTACTGGATTGTCTGGTCCAGACTCTATTATTTACAGACCACCCATATAGCTGGAATATTGCTGAGTGCGGCATAAAACTAAACTCACTCACTCACTAAAATTAGTTACAACTATATCAGAATAAACTGAAAAATGTTTAATTCAGTTTTGGGGAGTTTTTACTGACAATTGCTGCTGGCATGGCAACTTCTTTGAGAGGCATTTTAGAAGTTGTATAGATGAAGGAAAACCAAGTTCTATGGATAGTCAAATTCTTTATTGCAATGAGTGGGACATTTCAGTGTAGGTCACTGGTGTATATATTCTCCATGTTACAACTCTTTGTATCACTTGCTTGATAAAGCTGTTTGTACCTACACCGAAACGTCGCACACATTGCAATAAAGAAGTTGACTATCCATAGAACTTGGCTTTCCTGCCTCTCAGCAGGTTCAGATAATTCACCTATCTACCGTTTCTGTTTGGTAAACAGCACAAGTAACATGTCTTGAGTTGTAGAAGAGACTTTACATGTTGCTCTGACAAGTTGTGGTTTCTTAACACCCATAGTTGTCCCAGACTGACATCGGTTGTTGTTTATCCCCCTTGTGTTATGTGTTTCAGTCCCAGGGTAAGGCCTCCTTCTCCTTCCAGTCAGCCCCCGGCAAGATGGGTCTGCAACACAGGGTGAGTCTGGCCAGTCTTTGTGAATGTGTGTTGTTAATCTGCAGTGACTGTACACGGTAATGTCCCTGAATTTACAGGGTGTTGTCATTGTTATTATTCAATATACAGTGGACTCTGTCAATACCGGCCTCTGTAAACACCGGCACTCTGTCTATATCGGCACAAAGTTTCAGTCCCGACAGCGAACTTATCATAAGCGAACCTAGCTAAACCGGCACTCTGTCAAAACCGGCATTTTTATTTGGTCCCGACTGATGCCGGTATTGACAGAGTACACTGTAGTCCGATTTGCCGATGTAGATTGATTCCGAACATCAGTGTTAACATCAGCTGTTTGTATCCTGGTCCTTCTTCCTTCAAGACATGTCATGTATGTAGTATTCAAGACTGAGTTGTAGGATTGACCAATAATCTGAGATACACAGTATGTGTCGAGTCTTGGATAGGTGTCAACAGAAGATGCAGGTGTAAGGATGATAATAAACAAGGTCACTTGCGCTGTGTAGAGTTACATCCCTTTCTCATGACAGGAACTACTGATTATGGGTTTGAAACTCAGGTTTGCCCTGATGGTGTTTGTATATTTGTCAGCACCATGGTTTTCACAAATGTGGTATATATCCATTAATTTTAGCTTTCCAGACACAGGAAACTAATATGCCATGAATTACTAAATATCCTTCAAAACAATGTTAAACCAGCCGCACTCACTATGTTTCAGGTGGTGGTGATGTATGACTACCGCGCCCAGCGCTCGGACGAGTTGACCATCTACAAGGGCGACATGATCGTGGTCCTGTACAAGGATAGTGAAAACTGGTGGATGGGGGAGCTACCTGACGGCTCCCAAGGATACTTCCCCGCCAACTATGTTATCTCGGAAGGTGGGTGGTACTTTGCTGATTCTTACTGCGCCCAACTACAAGACTTGTTGATCATGCTTTCAAGCATTTGTTCTTCTGAGCAACAAAAATGTATATATAGTGTGTGATACAGCAGACCTGACAGCAACATACAAACATATTCACCCACTTTGTAACAAATCAATATGATGCAAACATGCTGTTCTTGCACAGATAATAATCTTTGATCATGATGACTTGTGACTCTGTTGCTTGTGTTGCTTTAGATGCATATGAAGGCGAAGAGTTGGAGGAGGTGACTGGCAGGAAGAAGGAGAGAAATGGAAAGAAAAAAGAGGTACCGTTTTTCAGAACTCGTTCTAAGAGATTATTTTCATATTTCAGGAGCACTTGTGAGCATATACTATGCAATTTCCATAGGCATAGTCTGAAATTTTCATTTCTTTGAGTGACATTTAAATGTCAAAGAGTAAATGTCTCTAGTTTGTTTGGTGATGTGATAAAAACACTTTTTCATATTGTCGTGGAAATTTGGTATTTCTAGGTTCATTTTGATATCACTCATAACTCACTCCTACTGTCATCTGTTCCCCAAGGTCACAGCAGTGAAGACAAGAGATGGTGACCTGAGGTTCTTCTCGGCCACAGACGACTCGGATACTGAAAACACACCAAAGCAAAGGTAACTCTTACAACCCTACAGCAATCTCACCAAAAAAACTTGCCAAGTTCCACCAAAGTATCCAAGTTCCACCAAAGTATCCCCAGTAAGTGGTCATGATGCCACAAATGCATGTAATCTTTCAGCTGTCTTCAGTAATTGTCTAATCCTTTCTTATCTGGCCATTTCATTAATATTTGAATTTTCTCATAACCATGTTTGGTCCCGAACATTTCTATGAAATATTTTACAAAAAATTCTGGTTGTTAGGTTCGAGAAAAACAAAATTAAGTCCAATTACAAATATGTTTCTAAATCCCTCATATTTAGTAGATCAGGAAGAAAAGTGGGGATGGGAGTTCTCAACAGGTTTTAATTATATTTTTCTAAATATTTTATTTAAATTGATAGCAACAGTATATTATTTGTTTAACATTTTACTCTTGTCTGGTTGTGTCTCTTCTGATGTTTTACAGATCTGTCAGCCATTTCTTATAAAACAGTCTGTCCTAATAACAGAAAGAATCATTATCATTCTCCTGCAACTTTATTATGTTGTTTAATCCATTTCAGTAAATTACGTAGCAGCATGACTGGAGATTCCGACACAGGGTCCGATTCGAAACCACGGAAAGCAAGACGAAGAGTCCACATGGATGAATCTGTGGCTTAAGGCTGCATGACACAAGACAACATTACAGTAGATACATAGGTGGTTCTTCAGTATGCTAGACATAACATTGTCTTAACGTTACAGAAGATGTGCAGTGTTTGTGGCCAGCAAGACCATCAAGAACGAGAAGAAGACAACCACATGTTTCAAAGTTCTGTTATTTGGAGCAAATCTTCATTTGTCATACAGCTGAAGTTTGATAACATTATCAAAACTTAAACAACTGAAATGTAGAAATGATGCACAAAACTGTCAAATTTCAAGACATTTTTCAAGGCTGCATAATATTCTTAATTGCATGAGGCATGTTCGCTTTTAATATCGTTTGAGGGGTGTGGAAGAGCAAGTGGTTCAAACTTTCGCTCATCAAGTCGAAGACCCGGGTTCAATTCCCCACATGATTACAATGTGTGAAGTCCATTTCAGGTGTCCCCCGCCGTGATATTGCAGGAATATTTTAAAAGCAGTGTAAAACCACTCTCACTCCCTCAGGAACGCCAGAAACCTGATTGTAGGTTGTTATCTTGGTTCGCTACGGTTGTTTCTAGGTTTGTCAGCCCTATTCCCATTGTCATGGCTACCAAAATGAATGTATCAAAGACCCGCATCACCTCCGGCTTTCAGTCCACATTATACTGACACTTCATTGAATAACTGGAATACTGTTACCAGTGGCATCCCATCTTATACTATAACATTTACCTAATTACTACTGGAAAATGACCCCATTTCTGGTTTCCCCGCCGTGATATTGCTTGAATATTGCTAAAAGCGACGTAAAACCATACTCACTCACTCACTACTGGAAAATGATGATTCTGAAGATTGTTATTACCAGTATATCACCAACAATCATATGATCAGTTCCATACCATTTATTGATGCAAGCATTATTTTTTCAGATAAAATAATGTTTTCAAGGCATGAAAGCTACAGAAATTATGCTGCCATAAGATCTTCCACACAACTTTGTTGGTTCTACATTATTATTTATCTGTGATAATACCTAAATGGTTGTGTATATATCTTTGTTTCTATTATTGTATATGTGTAGATAGTTTAGCTTTTATACTGTACATAACATATCAGGGTGGCAATGATTCCTGACTTTCATCCAAACTGTCAACAAAGTCACACAAGGTGGAAGGTTATTCAATCCAAGCATCAAGATAAGCTTTGCCACCATTTGATATTGTTGTAAGGTAAATGTTACATTTGGAAAATAATTTACCAGAGAACTACTGGTGATACAGTTTCAAAGCTTATGATGATTTTTATGTAATTTTATTTTGGTGAAACAAAGGCATTATACATATTCTCATTATTTATTTAAGTGAAACATTGAGCATAATACAACTCCTCATCACCCAGTGATAACCATGTACTACAACACAAACAGGTTAACCTGCGTGACATGTTTGTAGTCAGCAGCACAATCCATCTAAGCTTTAGCAAGCTGTAAGACTATGAGTAGGCGGCTGGGTGAACACAGTTGTGTGTCCGTAACTAAAACAGTTAGATAGAATTGGTCTTCAGCTGCCCATGCTTGTCGTAAGAGGTGACTAACGGGATCGGGTGGTCAAGCTAGCTAACATAGTTGACTCGTCATCGTATCCCAATCACACACATTGATGCTCATGATGTTGATCACTGGATTGTCTGGTCCAGTCTCGATTATTTACAAACTGCCACCATATAGCTGGAATATTGCAGCGTAAAACAACAATCAACCAACCGTAACTAAAACAACAGACAGTAGAATGAAATATCTGCAGTCTCAAGTGGTGTAGGGCGGTGGGGTAGCCTAGTGGTTAAAGCGTTGGCTCGTCAGGCCGAAGACCCAGGTTCGATTCCCCACATCGGCATAATGTGTGAAACCAATTTTTGGTGTCCCCCCGCCGTGATATTGCTGGAATATTGCTAAAAGCGGCATAAAACTAAACTCAGTCAGTCAAGTGGTGTAGGGGCTCAAACTACCATTTCACTTTGCAGTGTGGTATCCCTCCGACAGACCAGAATCCTTTGATAATGCTTTGCCCCCCACTTGCAAGTATTATACTTGATTTGTCAGCACAATAAAAATAATAATTTATAATGTGCCAAATTCCACTCCAGTGAATGTTCATGCTGCTACATTATTATTAAGCCAGTCAATGGATCAGTGCGATTCTTATTTCAGTTCTCAGGAGTGTATGACCATTGCCCTGCTTGTATGTTTCACCGTACATTTAAGACATATAAATCATGACTATCTATCTATTTAGCCATATATCCCAATGTATACTACTCACACTTTGATAAGGATCACAAAATTCACAACTTTACTTAAACGCTGATTTATAATTTTAAATTGTATCCATTTAAAACTGGATAAATAATGATATGGTAACCCCTCTACGGGCAAACAGCCACTTTAATCTAACCTTGTACTTGATACATTAGTAACCATAAAAATGGTTTTCATGGCACCAATCAACCATTTTGCAAATCATGGATTGAGTCTTTGACAAATAAACAACACATGGATCCACAAGATGCAATGACATACTGAAACCAAGGATCCATGCTAACAATAAGCTTAGACATTCAAACCAAATTTGACCCCACATAATAGTTTTCTGTTGAATCCATGATTTGATCCTTAGCAAATCGTGAATAGTATAAATTGGAAGCTGAGTTGTGACTGAACTGTGTCAGAATGTATCAATAATAGTGATGAAGAATTTAATGTGTGATTTTATCCACTGTTGGATGGAATGTACTGGATGAAAATCTAGGTTTTGATTTATTGCATGCCCGTAGTAAGCTAGTAGACAGGTTGTGCATTTATGAGCTAGAATGGCGTTATTTGTTGTGATATCACGACAGGGTGACTGGGTGCAAGTCCCCAGGAATCAGTCAGGTGTGACATTTTACCATAGGGAACACAGATGTTTGATGTGGTGTTATCAACTAAATAGTTAATGGTTAGGTCAGATTGTAAGTTTATCTCCGACAATATAATGGATTTAACTTGACTTTGATCACAAAATACTGGTTGTACTGTATGTTATTGCTTATGTTGACTTTCATCTTAGCTGTCAAAACAAACCTGATTGATGATGTTGGAAAGTGTCATTCATCAAGTTTAATGTGGTGTTATATGTGGACCAGAAAACAGCATGATTATCTATTATCTCGAAACTTAATTTATTATTTTTCATATTTTAATCTTTTTAGAAAAAAAGAAAATTTGAAAACTTGATGTGCCTTAAATAAATGTTCAGTGCAGAAGGTTGAGTTGTTTGCTTCTCTTGTCACTTTGTTTTTTGTTTGGATTATAAACTATTGACAACAGGTGAACTTAGTTCAGTTTAAGTGATTAAATCAAAATTATTACAATATATGGTCGGTGTTTTAACTGCTATGTAATGTAGGATATTTGCTATGAGAACACTAACAAGAATTAACTTCTGTCAATGAAAGTGTTCACTCATCAGTTTTTATAGTTGCCATGGCTATACTGTGCACTTAGTGTTTTAGACAATCTTCACTTGTTGCAGTTTGTAAGTTAGGATATGGAGTTTCTTTCCATCTTTAACACATGGGTATATAAAACTAATTGAGAAGGAGAAACACTGTGGATACAACTTTGAGAAGATGGGGTTGTTTAGGCTGTACATTTGTAAATTTAAAAAAGATGACAGTTATTTCCTGGTTGTGCCAGATTTACCACAAACATACATTAAGATTCAAATAGCAAAGCCTTCCAATATGATGTAAATCAGTTTGAAATCAATTCACCTCATATACATGCAGTTGTGTTAAATAATCAGTGTTTGTTTTGATATTTCAAACATGTTTCCAACCTCTTATCTTGTGTAATTGCATATTTCAAAGGCCCAAAGAAATAATCCTTAAACGAGCAGAACAATGTCGTATATGTGCTCTTTGACACCATAGTTCTCCTTGGATACAAAAAGGGGGCGGTGGGGGTAGCCTAGTGGTCAAAGCGTTGGCCCGTCACGCCGAAGACCCGGGTTCGAATCCCCACATGGGTACAATGTGTGAAGCCCGTTTCTGGTGTCCCCCGCTGTGATGTTGCTGGAATATTGCTAAAAGCGGCGTAAAACCAAACTCAGTCAGTCAGTCAGTGATACAAAAGGTGTTGCTAAAAGGGGCATAAACTGACTCACTCACTGATACAAAAGGATGAACCCATTTACTTATACAACAACAAATTGGAAGTCAGATGTGAGTACATATTACATCATATCACTGGTTGTTATTTCTGTGTTTTTTATTTATGTATACAAAGAAATGCATCCTTATTGGAAGCGTCTTACATCTGTGCCTGTTTGAAGTGCCTAGTAGCTTCATGCTGACATAGGGGCAGGAGTGTGGCCTTCTGGCTAAAGTTTTTATGAAAGGCTCCAAAGGTTATATGAAAGGCTCGGGTTCAATTCCCTCTATAAGTACAACGCATGAAGCCCAGGTGTCCACGACCATGATATTGCAGGAATATTGCTAACAGTGAGGTAAAGCCATACTCATACTTCCTAATGGTAACAAACACGATATTACACTGGAAGTGATTGGTAAACTTCAGCATTGGAGCTCAGCTTTGGTGCCAGTTAATGTTTATGTATTTGCATAATGGCAACAACCATCATGACAGACTTTGAGTTAAATTGTGATAAAAATAACAAACCGTCCAGAAACGTTGCCTTCAGAATTTACAGTTCAATGACTACAGTTGCCTTACTGTTTTATCATCCCGTCCGTTGTATGTTCCATTGTTTTGGGTACAGTTAGGAGGATGAGGATGTTATGTGATCACAATTCATATCAAATGTCATTCATATATCATGAGAATAGTGTTAGTAAGATCTGTTTTATAATTGTCAATAAGAATGTAGTTCTATTTTCTACAAATATGGTTGTTTAATAAATAGTATTCTTATACACTAAAATGTGTTGGGTTTTTTGTTCAAGATGCAAGTGGATACATGAATGTTTTGCCAGGAATTTCTAGCTTTCTTTATGCTTAGGTGTGACATTAGTACTGACCAGTGTTTGATGAGTCATCGTTCACACTTTGGCTTACTTCGGTCCAGTGACATTGGCTACTGACTTCGACTCTGAGGTACACATCCTACACTCATGGAAAGGGCTGCATATTTTGTGCACTCATTAAAATTCTTTTCCCCTTGAGAGTCACCAGAGATCGTTGTTGAACAAGTGCAAGCTGTTATTGTTCCATCATGTGCCACAATTTAACGTTGAGAATTCTACAATTTCCACCAGGTAGAGCGAGCTTGTAAGACAACCCCCACTCGGCCAGCCCATAACCAGCAACTGACGCCCCCTGCCTACTACTGATATCAGTGTTTAAAAGTACATTGTGTATACGCTAATTTTTCTAACAATGAAAGTATAATCCCATAGGCGGATCCAGAAGGGGGGTGCAGGGGTGCGCACCCCCCCTTTTGTCCTGAAGGTTTATTAAATGACCATTGAAACTCGGATGAAAATGACATGTGCACCCTCCCTTTTCTCAATAGTATGCACCCCCCCCCCTTTCTAAAAAAGCTGTATCCGCCCCTGAATCCTCAATATAAGCGCTGAAATGTTATGCCATTATGAGACCTGTGTTTGCCAAGCTAGGTGTGGGTGTGGGTGGGTGTGGGGTGTGGTGATGATGGGGATTTTTATGGAGAAGCATGTACAATGTGAATGACACCCACCCCCCTAAATTGTATGTACAAACTCAATGAAGGTGTCCGTAGAGGTCTGCTTTGTGAGCCCAGTCCTCAGCTGCAGTACCAAGGGCGTAGCTACATAATTGGAATACGTTGACACGTGTCAACCAAGTCCGCGAGCCTGACCACCCGATCCCGTTAGTAGGTTACAGTCCGCGAGGCGTAAAATTCACACCTAATAAATCCCACAAGGCCTAATTACAGTTTGCCCACATGACATAATTAATGAGGTAATTGGGGCGTGAAACGAGTGGGAGAGGCCACTGATCAGTGGACGGGGGTCACTCTTTTAGGGTTAGTTTAGTAATGAGACTTGTCTACTGTGAAAACATTAAGGTGGGATACATATTTTGTTGTGATAACATAATACATGATAATATGTTGTTATGATTCCTGTGGTCAATCCACCCTTATCCAATAAAACCACTGATACAGATGTCATAAATCACTGTTAAAATAAATATTTCACAATCATATTTGATTTTTGTTGTTTCTTATGATTCACCCCTTCTGTGGTCAATAATGGACCAATCCAGCAATAATCCACCGTAATCCCATAAAACCAGTGAGGCATGAAGTCTCACATAGCCTAATGAACTGTACCTACCTAATTGAATAATTTTAGGCTCATGAAGTCTCACATAGCCTAATGAACTGTACCTACCTAATTGAATAATTTTAGGCTCATGAAGTCTCACATAGCCTAATGAACTGTACCTACCTAATTGAATAATTTTAGGCCTCGTGGGACGACATCCGTTAGTCACCTATTACGAGAAGCATGGGTTGCTGAAGACCAATTCTAACCCGGATCTTCACCCGCTAGTATAACCAGGAATTAGGCGTGTAGTGTGTGTCATCATCCTTCCCTGACCTCCTGGACTGCTTTCAGCTAATGGTCTGCCTAACTCATGCCTGTTTATGCAGATATACGTCCATTACGCTGGATTCGATCCCCCCTGGATAATATAATACCCGAGGATTTTTAAACTACCGGGATAGGAAATTACGTAGGACCACGTGTGTCATGTTACTGCTAGAATGTGTTACCAGCACCATTGCTGTTTTCAGGATCTAGATAGGTATTGATCATGAGTGAGTGAGTTTACTTTTACGCCACTTTTAGCAATATTTCAGCACTATCACGACGGAGGACACCAGGAATGGCCTTCACACATTGTACCATGTGGGGAATCGAACCCGGGGCTTCGGCGTGACGAGCGAACGCCTTAACCTCTAGGCTACCCCACCGACCGGTATTGATCATAAGTGAATGATCGTTGTTTTACGCCGTACCCCCAATGTATAGGATATATCACAGAGTTCTATATACAATCAAGGTTGTCCTGGGTAAACCAGTGTCAGTTAACACGGGGAACGATCGAAGCCGTTGGGGAAGCAGCTACGCGTCACGCTGGCAATGACTGACTGACTGACTGAGTATGGTTTTACGCCGCTTTTAGCAATATTCCAGCAACATCACGGCGGGGGACACCAGAAATGGGCTTCACACATTGTGCCCATGTGGGGATTCGAACCCGGGTCTTCGGCGTGACGACCCAACGCTTTAACCATTAGGCTACCCCACCGCCCCCGCTGGCAATGAGGTATATTAATGTGACTTATGGAAGTTACGCCCAACCATCTGGCGAAATACGCACGCTTTAATCAATATGACAATTGTATCCTATTAGCTAAATCTGTCGATATTACAGTTATATATATATTATCATATATTGTATATTTTGCAAAAATGAAAGCATTCCTTAAATGTTAAATAGTGATGTGGACTATTATGTGATAAAAATAAAATATAATTGACATTTGTAAATGCTTCAACTGATTGAAACTTATGTATATTAAATCAGAAAGGAAACGACGATGTGATAAAGAGTTTATTTCAAATCAAAGCAATGAGTGGTTTAAAACATTTATAAAGTGAGATGTATATTATCTATGGAATATGGTTAGTTTTTTCACCACTGGAAATGGCAATTTAAAATTATTTTCTAATAGATAAACTACGAAATATGGAGTCTCCCGATTAAGCGTCGACTTACTACAATGAGATAAGGTGATCGTCCCGTTTGTCACAAGTGGCAGTGGCAAATTTCAGAATGCATCAGACATTTACCTTTCTGTAAAATATTGTCACAACAGGATATGTTTCTGGACGCCTGAAATCGACAATGTGGGCTTAAGTGAGACTAGCAGATTAAAAATAAACCAGTACCGCGTTTAATCCTACGATAGGTGTGTCGCCCCCACGTAGAATGTGACACACTTGCGTAATCTCTTCAACATTGTTTAACGTTTCTGCACTACTTTGGAAAAAAAAATATGCTGTATTTCCTTTTGAAAACGCCGAGTGTCCTATATCAGCCTAACCTCTGTTTGATATACCTGTTTGAGTTACACGTTTTGTCCAAGAAAAAGTAACAGGTCTACCATTCGATGATTTTATCCCCAATTATCCCCATCACGATCGTTTACGATATGCAGTTATACGCGTGGTAATGTCGGTTTCCTGCAATTGTACTCATTCTATGACTGTAGGACGGAGATTGGGCAAAGAAGCGAGTTGCTGTCGGCCCGAAACGTAGACATATCATAACATACGTTATTTTTGGGATTACATTGTGTAATCGTTGACAAATCCGAAACCTAGACAAAACTCCGAATGAACGGAGTGCCGAAATGAAGACACGCGGTGAGGAAAAACACCAACAAACAAATAGTTGATCCGGACATTAAGATTACTGATAATTAGCTATACTTAATATAAGTATATATTATAAAATACTAGCAATTATAATATCATAACTTTCATATTACATTAGAACGTATTATAACTATAAAACAGTTGTTTAATTGTACAAAGATAACCGTTTCATGTTTTCTATTAACATTTTTGTTATTATCCTATTATTTTGATAATTGACTGCAACATTAGGCGTGGACAAGGTTCATTTGCTTTAAACACAAAAAAACGTTTTTTACACTTATAATTTGTAAATTATTTTACAAAATGTATTATATGATTTAAAAAGAGAAAATCCAAATAACTGTAGCCGTGTGAATCTTGACACTATTATCCGCACATTCGTCACGGCGAACGTGCAAGTTGGAGTCCAGTTCTTCCAGAACAGGCGTGGAGGAAGAAAACGTTATTTTGCTGATAACAAATGTCAAAGGGGAGATAAAGTCTACGTGAAGTGTGTTGAAGCATAGTGTTCTGTCTACATTGTGACATCTGACGACCGAATTGATCTGCGAAATTATTTGCCCAGCCATAGACCTTCTATGCTTCACGTTTCCACTTCCATTCTGCATGCTGTCGAAACCTACTAATAAAGACATATATTCCAGATGGCTTGACGACTTAGGAGAAGCTGAATGTATCCCAAAAGGTAGTACAGCTTGCCCACAGCGCCGTTTTGTGTGTCTTGCCCAACACCAATAGAAGGTGCTTATTTCACTATACCCAGCGAATATACATGGAAGGTCGGTCTGGCAGAGGAGGATTGTGATGACGCAGAAGATAAGCTGGTCCGGAGAGTTGCATTCTGCCTTTGGTTCCTCTGGACAGTAAAAGATTCTAATGATGCCGAAGAACAGAAGCTGGTCCGAATAGCTGCGTCTCTGCCTTTGGTTGCTATGCACAGTAGAAGATTTAGGCCAGCGGATTGTCCACCACTTGAAATCACTAATGCACAGATTCATCAGCTTGAAATATTTGTTGTGCTGCTGTATGGCAGAGCAAGCATCCTCATGAAACTGAATGAAGCAAGAAAGCACATGTTCGCACGAAGGGGATAACATTGGACAATATACTCCCAACAGAATCAGCTTTGATCCAACATATAAGGAGAGCTGTATATCAGAGGAGTTATGTTTGGGGGCCATCCCTGATGAAACCACTGGAGTTACCAAGCCCTCTGGATTGGGCTGGCAATAACTCTCGGGGAAAGAAGAGCTTGGACCTCTATGGACAACTCTTTCGAAGGCATCAAAGAGTTGCCAGGAATTGCTGAAATGCATGCGTAAAAAATGTTCAAACCAGTCAAATTGCATAAAAGCAGCTCTTAAATGCACTGCACTGTGCAAATGTGGAGGGGACTGTAATTGATTTTCTGATTCAGTCAAGCTAGATACAATTACACGCAAGACATGACCGAGTAACCTGCCACGGCTACTTTGACACTGATGTT